CCGTGGATTGAAGGTGCAAGGACGTTGTCCGACCTTGCTACAGTTTAACGTAAATAACTTTCACTGAGGAGCGACGACCGCGCACCTGCGCTCTGCTTCTGGTTTGGTTGGCGGAATCCAAGGCATTCTTGGGTTGTTACTGTTTTAGTTGACAGGACGTAATCTACCGAAGAAAACACTTCTTGAAATATCGTGTGGAAGGGCGTTGAAATTTTCTATTTTGTTAGCCCGTCTTCTGACTAAAACTTTCAAGTTCATTGAATCATTTTTGTGCTAGTCTACGAGGATAGTCTAACTAAATATTATTCTGATTTTTGTGTGTTTTTTCCGACGAGAAACTTGTCATATCACCAATGAAAACAATGATGCCAATATCAAACTTTTAAAGTATCTAATTGGAATACAGTTTAGTATTTTCTGCTTGAACTGATTTTCCAACTTTAAGCAGTATGAGGCAAGATGAAATTTGATTTTCAATAAATTTTTTTATGTTGGTAGAATTAAAAACGCTGTAATAGGCCTATTGTATTGACAACTATGTTTACACACTAAACAGCTTTGCTGAGTTTTATATTTGATACACAACACTTTCGTTCTATGTGGATAACAAGGATACCTAGTAAAGTTTTTTTATGTATTCTTTGCTGGGTCTAATAATTTGAATGTCTAGATTTTCTGGGGAATTTTACAGTTTTTGTCCAGTCCAACAGATTAGCTATTTAATTCTTTTGACAAATTAAACCTGTATCCATATGAACTATAAAGTAAATTTGAAATCTGATAGGTTTCAGTGTAGACTGTACGTGGCATGTTTGCTGGTAGCTCGGCTCGAGATTTCCTCCTGGTTTTCAAGTGCCATTTACCAATCAAAAGGCAATCATTCTATTGAGTGTTTCTTTGTTAGTCTGTACGTATTGGAATGCATGTTCCCATTGGAATTGACGATTTTTCCTCTTATTCAATCAGGAGATTCTAGCCATATATTTGTACACATGTGGTTATTTTTTGCAATAATAAGCGATATAAAATTATATCCAAAAATGTGTATAGAATGAATATGTTTCAAGCGAAATCATTACTGGGTCCAAATGCAATTTGTCTGTACGGTATCAATTAATGATAACAAAGAATAGGGTTTGGAACGGTCCCTTGCCAAAAAAATTAAAATAAAAGGAGAACTATTCTGAAGGGAATACACTATCTCTCAAAGAATATAACGTTTTAAGGGTTACCCTGAATAAAAATCTTATCCTAAAAAATAGCTGTTTTATACTATTAATAAACATAATTTGATGAATTGTAATGAGCTATATTTTTTCTGTTCACCTAAGTTGTTACTATGTATTACTTCAAGTTTTATTTCGTGTCTGGTGTAGGCCTACCCTTAGCAAATAGCTAACATTACATTATTATGCCATAAAGCCATTATCTACATAAATAACACTATAGAATTTCAAGGTTTTGTCCATTACCTGAGCCAATAATTATTTACATGTCACATTTCAATACCAATTACCATATGCTTTCATTAATGATTACCACCTCTGTTATTATTTAATAACCTACAACCTTATAAAAACTTATATTCTCAATTACCGGATTAGAGCCTTGTCTTATTACCATAATGAATAGTCAAAACATCTTTTACTTATTGAAATGTATTATGTAAGGAGATATTATTTACACAGAAATAATATTGAGTAAAATAAAACAGTAAAATAATTTTAAGTTTTTATTTTTAGATATCATCATTAATAACCATATAACAATAAATATATTGCCAGGAGAGTGTTTCAATTTTCTTGCTATCACAGATTAAGAGATTGAATAACACAGTATCCTTGGCCACAAATTGAGCTATTTATATAATGAAACAATCTTTATTGTTAAATAAACTGTTAATTGTGGCAGAATGTGGAAGGAAATCCTTCTACATACTGATGTTGGAAAAACAATAATTAAACCAGATAATTCAACTTGAGTAACAATGGATTCTTGAAAAGGCTGAGCAATTAGCAATGACAATAGCTTGCAACTCTTAGAAAAAGTATCAGTACTTATTGTATGTTTAAACAACGTGATCTCTTATAGCTTATAGGTCTTTGTTAATTGGCCTAGATCGTTGGAGACAGTATTTGAGGTCTTGTGGCTCTCCTGTATTTTTAGATTATTTTACTGGTTTAAAAATTATTACAACCAACCAAATATTTGTAAATATTTTAAATTGGCTTCAAAAACCTGTTCTAAGTACCGGACATGAACTACACACTAAACCAAATAAGAAGACTGCTCGTACTTAAAATAAATTGTCTTACTTAATTCTTGTTAAAAGAAATATAAATAATAACGCAAACTTTGAAATAGTGGTGATTTCTTCTCTTTCATTGTGTTTACACTACCATTATGTACCATTAATGCTGTATTTGTAAGTTAGAAACATTGTATTCACATAAACTTCAGCAACAATTATCAGACATGAAAAACATACAAAAAAAACTCGAGATTTTACTATATGATAAGGACAGTTAGTATACTTACAGTATGCAATGTGTTTGGTATTTAGGATATGTAGCATATAAAAAAACACATAAAACACACATTTGAGAAGTTTTGTAATATTCCATTGTCTCTGATTTGATTTTATTCATGCTACTTTTACATGCACTAATTAAGATTGCAAGTTGTAATTCAAAACAGCACAATTGTTAAGCTTGCATGCTGCACTGCCATAAACCAAGTGGTAACCAAGCATGATCAAGTTTCCCAACTTTGCCTTTCACTACTCATGTCATGTCCGCTCTGTTTATTGGTGTTTGGCCTTCTTCTTCTTCTTCTGAACACAGTGGCATATGAAACGAAGATTGTTACAGTTATAATGCTGCAATCATCCTTAGAAGGCAGATGATAGTGAAAAATGGAGTTGCTCCTCCGTGAGATGAAATAGTTGGTATGAACATCGAGATTTTGCACCAAAGGTACAATACTTGGGACTTTTAATTTCCATAAGTTTTATTGTTGACGTGCACTTGAAATTAGAACACAAATCTGGTTTTATCGAATAAATTTCATAGTCACATTATTAGGCTCAGACAAGCAACTATTGCTAGTTTTTTTAGATTGATCTTTATCAAAAACTATCCAGCTTGTCAAAACCAATAAATCTGTTAGCAGTATGTATACGCTTGCCTTTATTATTAAACTGTTTTATAGGTTGTCTATAATATCCCATAAGGCATCCAATTGAAGTAGATAAGTGGGGGTTTAGGCTGTTTGCTTCTACATGAAAGTTACTGCTAGGCTGAGTGCTAAACTTTATTGAGAGAAAAATAAACAAACCACAACGCTATTTCAGCACTAATACAAGAAACCGTTATATGACGTGGAGTGCTAAAAAATGATTTGCGGTTTTCAAGTAACCTGAATCGTCGATTCACGTCCTGTGAATTATTTTACTGACAGCAAACCTGTTGGGTCTGCTGGAAATCCCATTGCTGTAATTATATTTGTCAATTAAAATGTTTGTGATTGCATAGATGTACAGGATAGTTGATAATGGTTCTCCTAGCTCAAGTTCTCTGGAGGCTTGTTTGTTGAGTAGGAAATCACTATTAGATGAGAAGTAAGAAGATATCATAACATCTTATTTCAACAAGCAATTAGTTAATTTTTTTGGTTTAATAGAATACATCGATCATTATATTTATTTGTCGATTTCTTAAGAAGCACCTAATTGGAATCCAGTAAAGTAAGGAAATTAAACACAACTATAAATCTTGTATAGAGTTTGTAGTTGTTGTTAGACGTTTTCTTAAAAACAAAATACCCAGGATTTTTTTTATTGTACTAAATAAGTAATTATTTAGTAATAAGGAATCGTTTTACCTGAATACTATACAATACCCCATTTTGAAGAATCTCATCTTTTAGGTTTACAGGAGCCAAATATGAAGTGGTCAGAAGTATGACTTGAACCCCCGAAAGAATGTGTAAAGTTAACTGATATTAGCAAATTTTACTTATAAGGGATAAGCTATTACTGTAGGTCTCACGGTAAGACTTAGACCTGAGAAACAATTACTTGATAAATATTTTTTTATCACATGCATGGGCAATTTTATTTGAAGAACACATTCTTCTCCGTAACTAGAATTCGGTGGTGGAAAGCACCTTCACAAATAAAAGATGTTCAAAAATGTGGTGATGTCTAGTCAAGGATCCAATAACGTTAGGGAAGATGAACTAACAAATTCAATATACTACATACATACATATCCTCTCCCATTCCGGTTGTTTCCCGGTCTAGGTGTGCCTCTCCATCTTCTTCTGTCCCTCAACTATAAAGTATTCAAAATAGTTTGTGTGTAATGCTTATATACAAAAGTATTCTAGGACAAGTCAAGTTGTAAAGTGTACAGGTGATGATTTTACTTGAAACAAGTTTTACGTAACTGGAATTTTAGCACTCAAAAGATATTCAACGATCAGATAATTCCAAGAGATTCATGAGGTAAACTGGTTGGTGGTCTTGCAAGGTCACCTGTTGACCTCTGGACCGCCTCTGCTCTGACCTTTGACCTCTCACCTTGTCCGGCGACCCACTGACTCCACCACTGCACCTTGTTCATCATTCAGCAAACGTCTCATTATCATTGTCAATGCCTTCTTTGCATAAAGGTCCCACTTCCTTGTGATAGTGACACGGCGGATTAGTTGCAGATAATGTAAATAGATGCGCCTCAGATGCATATTGTGCTGTTTTCACAGGTTTCCCTCAGTGAAAGGAAGCAAGGCCCCCCCAATATCCCCCCAAAAATTCCTCTCTGGGCACCCCTGAGCAAGGGTGTGGAAATTTAATAATTTTGATAATTTGCAACACTGTGCCCTAGAAGGCTTCTGTATCTATTCAGGATTGGTTGAAGATTATGTTAGGTGTGTTAATTCTTACATACTTATTGTTAATACTCATTAAACTTTGTTAATTTCATATCTGTTTGTTTCAGAATATCAGTCAAAGAATCTCTAAACCATGGCGCTCATACTCCAGTACATCGATGACATGCACCGTGTATTCAACAAACACGGAGGTCAGTTTTATAGCTGTAAATTATTTATTGTCAAGTATAATGGTAGGTAGAGTACAACAACATAAAACACAATCAATTTTTAGGAATGAATTTATTTTTAAGGAGTTAGCCGGCTACTTGTATCTTGCATATGTCCGTCCTCATGTGCCACAGAGCCCTGTGCTTTAAATGTATCCAGCAAAGCAAGGGGTGAGCTGGTACAGTACAAGGGTAAACTATACTGATAAATTTAGTTTTCCAATTGACTGTAAGTTATCATCAATGTACATTGTACATGATGAAAGTTTAAGACATTTTTTGATATCAGCAGATTTAGAAAGAAACAATCTTCAAACCAAGGTGTAATAACCACTATGGAGCTTAACCAGGCTTATCATTAACTCTTTATCAGACCTCACTTTTAACTGTATATTTAATTTCGTAAAAATTGTTTATCCTTAGGTATTTTTTAAAAATCCACTAAGGACATTTTGATGCAAAATTACATTATTTATCTCAATGCACCTAGTAGGCTGAAATTAATTCTAACAATATGTAGACAATCGTAACTATTTTCGGCGGGGACGCACAACAAAAGCATCCAGTACAAGTCCATGCCTTCTGAACTCTGGGACTTTGATTGGATCACTTTGTATAGGTGATATAACACTTGTATTGCGTAGCTCTCAAATTTTAATTGCGCTTCAAGTTGGAATTCAACTTTAACATCCATTCCTCAAATCATCACTTCTTGTAGGAAAAGTTTTCAAGGAAACTTTCAAGTATTCAATTTAAAAACTACTCGTTTTGTGCTATCAACTAACTTTTAATTCTTTCTTTCCAGACCCTCGCACCAACAACTGGCTTCTGATGTCCAGTCCGTTCCCCACACTTGCCATCTGTCTGTCGTACGTATACCTGGTCAAGGTGCTAGGGCCCAGGCTCATGGAGAACCGCAAACCCTTTGAGCTGCGGAACGTCCTCATCGGGTACAATCTCTTCCAGGTCATCTTCAGCTCCTGGCTCTTCTATGAGGTGAGAAGATCTGGCAAAATATTTCTGAGTTGTGGTCTAAAACATCCAGACAATAAGTGGATGATAAATGTTTGACAAATTTCTGTTACTTGAGGATGTTACTTTTTTACTGAAAAGGTTGTTTGAAGTAGTAAGACACATTTAGTAATGCACACAACTCACTGTTAGGTTCAATGCTGAAGGGTTTTGTACTGAGATAGTTTAGTCTACCTTCAGCAAAGTTCTAATAATTGAATAATGTTGGTTAAATGGTTAACCATTTTTCCAACACTAGTGATAAAATCCTTCAAACATCATTTATACCTACAGTCATCAATAACTAATTTAACATAATAATACTTGAACGCTATTAGGGAAAAATAGAGTCTGTCTCATAATGATAAATGTTACCACAAAAGTAAATTGGGGTGTTCTCATTGCCCCACCCTGTGATATAATAAATTGTTATTGATAAATTATTAAACTGGGGTACAACAGTACCTGAGTTGGTTAGATATAATGAGAAAATAATTGTTGGATCACTTTTAAACTACATCACTATTAAATTATTCTATATACTAAGAAAAGGTGGTTTACCTTATATATAACCTACAGGTCAAATTGGATGTAAATCAAAATAAATTAAAATTTTTTGTAAACACCTTTATCTCAAAATTAACATTTTTAATTTTATCATATTGTTGTAGGTTACTTGAAAAATGTGGTATTATCATCGTAAAATTATTTTAAAACTGATGAGTATGCCTATGTCATTATTTTATTGTGCTAATAACATCTTTATTAAAATAAACTAACAGTGGTTTTGGATGAATTTAAAAATATTATGCAAGCCTTCAGTTGTCAATTATATTATTAATTTTTAGATACCTTATTTATTTTGCGAGTTGAAACAAAATTCAGGTGGTTTATTTTGCTAACTATCTACGGTTCAGTGTCTATGTCTATACATTTGTAAAGCAAGATAGTGACATTACTATTTATTTTCGGAGTTAAACTTTATTTTTTTTTAAATATTTATGGAGATAAACTATACTATTTGTAGTTTTTTAAGAAACTTAAAATTTTTCTAGCAACACTCTTTTATGAGTCACTCTCGCCCAGTTTTGTACTAGATACTGCATGCTGTGTGTATATGTTATAGATCAAATGTGCTTTGCAAAATATTTCACACTTTCGCTTGGGGGCTTTGCGTAAACCAAGAGTTTACCAGAAAAAATTAGAAAATCTACAAGACAATGTCTGCAATTGAATTTATTTACTGTAATGATTACGTTAAAATGGTGGTTTCCCAATTTCCAACCAAGTACTGTTGAGAAAAACTAATTTCATGGAAAAAAAGTATAATGGTTAATTACTTGATTAAGTTTTGGACAGGCTATATTAAAATATTTTAGTAACAAAATTACTATAAAAGATTTAAATCTTTACAAACAAAATTAATAAGATCTTAGAGAATTTCCCCATACTGAAGAATCTTTTACCGTAGGCACAGAAAGACCTAGACCCAGGACCGATTTACTTTTTCATTTTGATTTCCCCAGAGGTACAATCCAATTAGACGGATTGAAATTCCCTTAGTATGCAGGTTTGTCGCTAAGAGTATTTTTAATTTAAAGATTGCTAAATGTTTCAAGTTTAGAAAAAATACTAGATCATTCTTTTTAGTTAACTACACTACCAGGCCAGTTCACTAGCAGTCTATTACAGTTTTATAAGATTTGTTACATTTAAGATAAAAAAAACAAATTTTTTGTCAGAAACACAATTTAGCTACTGTTTTCAATCAAACCATCTTAGATAGTGTTTTATGATTTGAAAAACCTTCTAAAATTAAAATCAAAATAATTTCTGTATTGTTGGGATAATAGGATTAATAGGGCTTTCTTGACTTTAATATTTTACTTTATTTATTGTTGTTTCGCTATGTTTCTCTCATATTGTTGTTGTAGTCGTTGAATTGTGTTTTTGTCTTGTGTTTCCTATTTTCTTTGTATTTGTCGACTTGTTTGTTTTCTTTTACTCTTAGATTTGTAAATTAGTTTCTTCTCATGTGCATTGTTATTGTTGCAGCATGCAGTTTTGTGTAATAGTTGTTTTTTACTAGTTTTTTCAAATAAATTGATTTAAAAAAATATTTGTATCATACATTTTTTTTTTTAATTTCGATTGCACACAGCTGTTGGACAACCTTACTGTTAAAAACAATTGATAATTTTTCATCAGGTAGTTTTTTTTCACAAATTACAACAAACAGTTTTTAGTGGCGTAGGTAACATAGGAACATAGAGAATAAACAATTCTTCTCGTACATATAGAAACCTCGTTCAACTTTCCTTTGTGTAATCTGTGTACTTAACAATTGTTATCATCCCTGTTGCATTTCAGTGCTTAATGGGTGGATGGTGGGGAGAATACAGTTTTAGGTGTCAACCCGTCGACTATTCAAATTCACCTTCGGCAACAAGAGTGAGTTTTGACACCGATAAAAAACACATAAACAGTGAACATGATGTGTAAACGTTATTTTGGGCAGAACACTAAATAAACATATCTTGTAAAAGTGAGGACTTTGAGTACACTCGCGGGAAGTAATATCGAAGAAATGCAATGTCTGTGTCGCCACCCTGACTTACGCTTGGGCTTAGGTTAAGGTTGATTGAATGAAGATTATTTATTGACCGAAGGTGATATAATTGGTGGTGGTGCTAACAGACCCCCACTCTGTGTTTTTGATCCTCATAATTTATTCCTACATTAAACATTACAATATAGCAATCTTTATTTTGTATCCTGTACAATTCAAATATTGGTATAATGGTAATTAATTATACTAAAAATATTTAGACTCCTTATAGTATTTGGTTTAACCAATGAAAATATTGTATTTTGCTTTGCTATCACATTGATCACACTCAACGTTGGATTTTTTAAAACTCATTTATTCAACTCCTAAAAAAATATACGGTTAAAAAAATATATATTTCATAAACAGTTAATAATTTTCTTCAACTGAATATATTCATGTTGGGCCTATATGTGTGAAGTTTAGAAACAGTAATGTTTTCAAAAATTTGAGAAAAAATATTAAGGATTATAATCCAAGAAGATACAACAAATAAAACATCTAATCTGTATTTAACTAGGTAAACAGGTGTTGGTGATGGTGATATAATAGTAAATTGGGTTGTCAACTAAACATTATCGCTTGTTTTGCATGCTTGTAGCTGCTTATTTGTTTGTTTCGTCTTAGATGTTGTTTGGTAATGGCATTTAACCTAATGTAAACTCATTTACTACAGTTTTAATTTATAGATCACATAGTTAGCAAAACTTAAGCTTTCAAACCACATACCATACTTTTGGGCTGCTTAAAGCATATTTTAAATTATTTAGGTATTTCTTAGGTTCTGTTTCATATTTGTTTTTTATATATATTATTTGATCATTTAGACTTTCATTAGAGCTAGCTATAATTATGACAAAATATAGATCAGTTACTTTTGTAGATCATCCGCCATTCCCTTTACCCTTAAATCTAATGTATTTGAGGATTAAAAAAATGAAGAAGTGTACTACATTTAATGATAAATGGTAGAGTCCTTAAATAACCAGCAAACTGATCATGAATTTGTATCCGCATTGTAGGAATTAAACATCGATTTCCACCATATTGTTTATCATAAACTCTTGTTAGGTCTCTAAAGCATTAAATAATTAATGTACTTCAGAAGTAACAGAAGGAAGTTGAGGTAAGAAATTCCTTTAGACAAAAATATGAAAATGCCCATCAATTATTTAATTTCTATTAAAAAGTGGTTGACTTGACTGCAATATAAAAGTCAGCAAATAACCCTCTAATTAGTTTTTTTTTTACTGAGAAAAATGTAGTATTATTAACACTTTTTTGCTATTATTTCAAGTACAACCTACAGTAATACTTACTCAGCAAACTTTTATAACCTTATTTACATTGTAAATATTTATATTTTTAGTAGGTATGAAGGTGCGGCAGAAGTAAATTTATACTTTATTCTGACCTTTTTCTTTGAACAAACGCATGATTTATTCTATTGTAAATATATTTACTGTACATAAATATTTGTAAATACATACCTCTTAGTTGTTGCATCTTTTTTGTGAATATAACATTTCAAAAGACAAAAATTACTTTTATATTGAGAAACACACATTTTAAAAGTGTGTTCCTAATGTTGGCACAAAATTTAGTTCTTTGTTGATGAACACGAAAGATGCAACTAGTGAATTTGTAAATATCAAGTGTTGTATATTGTATATATTGCTATTATTCTGTGCTGCTACTTATACTTCTTTTTGTTTATGAGTGTTGCTTCTGTTTAAATAGGGATTTATAACTCAGTGTTTTGTGTTGATTAATATAACCTTATTAATCCACTCTTCTTTGTCTGTTTTATTTTAATCATGTTAGTATGATTTTTATTTTTATTATACTACTTTTCAGATTGCATAATTTAAAATTTGTAGTTTGGTGTCATCTAATGAGTTGATGACACAATTGTAAACAAAGAAATGGTTTTGAAAATATATTTTTATATCCTGGGGAAAGATTTTGCTGACAGTTTGGGATAGAGACTTTTAGAACTAAACATGTGATTGTTCTGCTTTACAACCCTTTAAAAAATAAGGGTTGCCTTTTGTTTCTTACAGAATAATAATGAAAATGTAAACAAAATGATCCTAACTTATGGTTACAAACAAAAGCCAACCCCAAGCACAACATTACATAAAAAAAAGTAAAGAACATTTTGATAATACCATTGAACAAAGATTGCTCTTTGAATATACTAACAATTTTGTCATATTTTCCTTTTAGCAATTCTCAATTCCCAGTTACTTATTACTAATTACATGTCCTTTGCACAGGAATGTACAAAAAATGTATGTTCTGTAAAATGTACAATTTATCCAAACACTTTTATGTTTTGTTTGGATGTAACTATGTTTATCCGCTAATACAAGTGCAATTTTTTCTTGTTTTCAATTAATTCAAAGTCAAAATATTCATTAAAATCAAATTTAATAAGAAATTAAATTAAATTATAAAGAAAGTTTTTGTATGTATACATCTTTTTAATTTTAACAACTAGTTCAAATATCCTTGTACACAGTGATATTTTTTGCATATTTTTTACAGTCGTTGCTTAATATTCAAGTATTATTTGTACTTAAACTGTACTTTCAAAATAACTTTTCATACATAAAAATATTTAGAGAGCATACTGCTCGCTGCTAATCGTGTTATGGCATTTTATGCATAATTTAACAGCTGTGGATTTTTTTTTCTTATAAAATCTTTGGTCAATCCTTGACCTTAGGAGAATTTGACTAACTGTTTATCTTGCAGGTCTTTCAAAAGCCCATCACATATATTTTTCTACATAAATTTTGTTTGAATTATTTTATTGTTTATTATGTAAAAAATTAATACCAAAAGTAAGGAGCAAACTTTAACTAACCTTTTTTAAATGTGTGTTGTGTGGGCACACAAATAAACACTACATAGATTTACAATTACATGTTTATGAATTTACATGAAATTGATCAAACCAAAAGACATTAGTTTGAAATCTTGGTTTTGATTCACTTTCTGCCAAGGGATTTATGCTGTTTTTGAAAGGAAATATAATAATTCAATTTTTAAAGAGAGATGCCATTCTATACTGGCTTCAAACATATGCATGTCTGCCACAAAGTTTTGACAGTTCTGAGTTCAACTAAAATCAAAACCAAATTGAAATCAGCCAATAAAACACAGTAGCTTCATTTAAAAACCAATCATTTTAACAATTTTAAAACTTGTATTGGTTTAAAATATGTTAGTTTTTATTTTAATCTCTTCTGAAGTGAATCCTTAGACCATATTTAAATAATTATGTTTGTTTTGAATTCAGTCAGAATCAAAAGAAAATTTTAATCAGTCTAAGGCATCAATCTATTTTCTAAACGGTTTTGAAACTAATGGCTAAGTAAAGAAATATTTCTGTAAAATGTTTCCGCTCATCAACCAAAGAGCTTTTGACTATTAAATATAATTTAATTAGAAATAAAATCTAAACTTTTAGTCGTGTTCTCCTATTCCTTAATTTACGTTTCAAATGCCTTCAAAACTAATTTTTTGTACTCAGCAAGACTCCAATAAAAACAAGTCAATTGCAACCCCAATTTTCTTAATTGAATTTTAAACATTCTCACAACTCATATAGAATTTACAATATTCTATAAATTCTTTCTTTTCCTTACAATGTTTTTGTCGAGTTTTGAATTTAGTTAGAATCAGAATCGACTTTAAACTCAGCCAATAAAATAACTCAATTTCTCTCAACTGATATTTCAAACATTACAGCAAACAAACTTATTAAAAATGCCCTGCTCTTTCAAAACAGCGCTTTAATATAATTGGAAAGAATCCAATTGTTAACTGATGTTCAAACATTGACATTGGTTTCTATCCAGTCAAGGGTAAGATGTACTTGTAATTTGGTAGAGAAAATTGAAAATGCGTTTAGTTGAAAAAGAAGTTATAACAGCAGCACAGTGACTTGCACGATGGTGATGGTTTGCTTGTATTGCAGCTAAGCATTTCAGGGTGGCTCACCGGCCACTATAGTTTACGCTGCCAGCCAGTCGACTATTCTAACCATCCCCGCACTCTCAGGGTAAGTCCACACTTTTCATGTTCAATGCAAAAATCCAAATTGTTTACCAAAATATTTTTTAAATTAAAATTTTACATGATCAATTTTTGTTTGTAATGAAAAAGACGAATTAATATTACAACGATTTGTATCTAATTTTTTAAATTTAAAAAATCCAGTTTTTGTTTAAATATTTACAAATTTTTTGAATTTAGAATTTCTTTGATTTTGCTAATATTTGAAATCCCTTTTGTAATTAAATTACATGTTCACTGTTTTCAGATGTATTTAAGTAATGCATGTTTTAACTTAATTTATGTGTTATGTATTATGTTATGGTAAACATGTTGAAGATTTTGATGACAGTAATTTAGCTGAACTACACTGTAAATGGTTTTCGGAATATTTGTTTCTTCTATGTCTATCAGACATTTGGACTTTCTATTGTTGAGTATTGTTGAAGCATTATTACAGTTGACTCATGACTGTATTATAACAAGTTTAAATTTGAATTTTATGTGTTATTTTTCTCAAAGAGTATTTTAAGAAGTAATTTTACAAAATATATTATTATCTTTTGAGAACTCTTGTTTAGTGAAAAATTTTCACAACTATGGTCATAGAAACATATACCATGTCTTGGTTAATTATAAACCTAATGTTTCTTCAGACAGTATTAATAATAAGCAAATTTGTCTTAAATTTTTTTCAGGTCTCTTCAATATTTCCTTGCTTTCTCAAATGATTCATACATTTAATTTTGGTTATGATGAAAAATGTTAGTAGAAATTTCAATAAAGCATTAAAACCCCAAATATATTTTTTTTAGTAGTAAGACTATATAAGAAAACATAGATTCTTCTTAATTTTTTACTAATATTTTGTCTATACACTTTCAGATGGTCAATGTATGTTGGTGGTATTATTTCTCAAAATTCACAGAATTCATGGATACGGTAAGCATATACATTTTACTCGTAATCACTATTACTTACATAAAAGAAATAATGTGTTTGTAAGCAAATACAATTTGTATTTCACACACCACATAAAACTTTGCTTAAATGGAGAAAACTGTCGGTATGGAAACAAAAAAAATAATTTGTCAGTTATTTTTTTTGTACAAACTAAGCTTATAAGATATTGTTGTAATCTGCATACAATTTACTTACTTTTACATGTCTTGCAAATATTTTGTAAAATTAGCGGTTTTCATGGAATTTAGCATCAAACATTTTTAAAAACCACCATTTTTTTTTACCGTTCAAGAGTTTATATTCATATTTTGCACAAGAATAGTGGTAAATAAGATAAATGTTTTTACAGAATTTCAACGCTGAGGCTCAAACAGTTAGGGAGTTACGTATGTTTTTGTAAAAATCACATACAGACAGATAGACTGAAAATGAAATGAGATAGGACACATGTTATATTGCATTTTTTGTTTCTTTTGACATGCTGAATAACGTGACAAAGTTTGTTCACATGGTTGCAAGACATTCTGTATAATGTATTCATTGCTGTGCTTTAGCTGTGTGTAGTTGTAAGCATATTTTAATATGTTTAACAGGTGAAACAATCAATTGCACAGTTACTGTGCAATGTTGAATGTTACTCAAAAGGTTAAATTAATCACAAAAATAACTTTTCATAATTTTACTTTAAAATCAATTTTAAGTATAAAAACCAAACATTTTGGTAAAATATGTGGAAGCAAATAAGGTTGTTTACAATGAGATGTCCTCTATGTTTGGCTTGGTTAAAAAGTTATTGTATTTGAGAGATATTTACAGTATAATTCCTCTTAAGTTGTCGGTCTTTCACTAAAACTACGTTTAAGTTTAATCTATGACTGGCTACAATTTCAACATGGCACCAGTACAATAATGGTAGTTCTAAGTAAGGTAGTAGTAGTAGTGATATATACAGATGGTAACCGCACATGTATGTTAAAATATATTTTTTGAGGAGGATATATTTTTTGTATCTATAATGTTGGTGTTGTTGTATAGATCTTCTTCGTTCTGCGCAAGAAGAATCAACACGTTTCCACGCTGCATGTCATTCATCACGGCTGTATGCCCATGAGCGTCTGGTTCGGTGTTAAGTTCACACCAGGTAAATATATAAGTCTTATAAAGTATTTTACCGATAAAACCAATGACTTCTTCCAACATTATCTAATGACAACACCGACAGTGTTGACAAAACGCACCAAAATATAACTCGTGTAAACTAAACTATGTAAACTATAGCTGGGGTCCGCGGGGGTTGTCAAAATACTAATCCAAGGCTCCAGGGGCTGATCTCAGAGTCAAACATCGTCACCCCCTTGCTAAGGGGGTAGGGGGGGGGGGTGCAATTTGTGTTGTACGTTTCCGTTCGCTGCCCCCAAACAATGATTGAGGCGCCCTTAGATCCTCCAACATGCTACACGCCATGCAGTGTGACATCTTTTAATAGATCGTAATTATGTATTAGGCTACAGAAGTTTTGGTAGCTATCAACTTTGAACAGTCACAATGACCCAATTTGAGGTTTAGAAAATCAAAATGCTTTTCTTTTGTGGATACATTTTTGATTTAATTTATAATTTTGCCTCAAAAGCTTGTCTGCAGCAATCATTATAAAATATGTTGTTTAACTGTACTTTCTTTTATAGTGTGAGATCAACTCACATATTTGTCAAAACCAATACAGTAGAACCTCGGTAGTTCGACACTTTGTGGACGTAAGGGGTGTCGGACTATTGAAATGTCGAACTATAGGGAGTAAATGGAGTTTAATATACAAGAAAGTAAAAACACAAGTCTTATATAGAAATCACCCAAATTTATCAAATACTACAAAGCTTAACAATTTCACTGTTCATTAGTTAGGTCTCAAGACCACAATAAATGACAAATTAATGTTCAAGTCAGCTTTCATCACAATAGTAACCATTTAATATCACTTGACAAAATAGCTCAGCCCGCTTCGAACTACAAGGAGTGTCAAACTACCGAGTATCGAACTAGCGAAGGTTTACTGTACGGTACTACACTTGATTTAACAAGTCAGTTCACATTCACATCAGCGGTGAACACCAATGTGAAGAGGATAAATGAAATGGCAGATAGTGGAGCAATAGGTACTTTGAAAGGTTAGGAATGAGGGGGAGACTCTGAAATTTGAGAAATGGGACAAGATTTGTATGTATAATGGATTTTTGAATGGTTTTTACAGTATAAGTCATACAATGTAATGTTCCAGGTGGCCACAGCACTTTCTTCGGACTGTTGAACACGTTTGTACACATCATCATGTACTCGTACTACCTGCTGGCTGCCCTGGGACCTGGCATGCAGAAGTATCTGTGGTGGAAGAAGTACCTCACCTCCCTGCAGATGGTGAGTGGATGCCGAATTTCCATAATTCTACCAGTAGATTTTTACCAGGAGAATGTGCCGATTTATCTTATTTTTCTAAACTATTTGGTTTTAGATCTGAACTGATTGGACGGTACGCAGAACAATTCCTCAACTACTAAACCCTGTCAGAACAATGAATACAAACCCTTTAAGAAGCGAAATGGGTACTTTCCTGTTTAAGGGAACATTCATTATTATCGATGATTTTTTTCAATATATCGATATTTTTGTTTTCTGGTCCATTACAAATTGGTAACTGATCTTGTTTAGGATAAAATAGTCTGTTATATGGATTAAGAAATGAAACTATTCTAAGCTAACCTAACATAACCAACCAAACTTGTTGTACTATTTAAAAATTCCTTTTGATAACAGAAAAGGCAAGGTAAACACGGAGTTTTTAAATGTTACACAGCAAGTTTGGTTAGTTATGTTAGGTTATTTTTTTTAGAACAGTTTCATTTTATTATTGTTTGTTGATACCGAACAATATTAATCGTAGTTATCAGCTGATATGTTTCAATTTGTTAATATCGATATATCGAGAAAAAAATCATCGATAATAATGAATGTTCCCTTTAACAGGAAAGTACCGCGAAATGCTTATGGAGAATAGTCAGACTCGAATTTTGCTGCCGAAATGAGCTTCACTCGGCCGTCGTTACAATCGCTCGCGCGGCAGCCGCGCTACTGTATCTCTCTCTAAGCTGATTCTCTGTCTCACTCAGTCAGCTGACTTGGCCACACACTCGCGATAGTCCTAGTGGCCGCCGCGGGAACTACCTGAAATTAAAATATTCCCAGAATGATTTTTTTACAAAGGCATTGCGCTTCTTATAAGTTTTGTATTCATTGGTCAGCATAAGATTGATTGATAAGTAATGCGTGAAACAGATTTTGGTTTGTGCCAGTGGAGTATCTGTGCAATAACAATACATTAAAGGGACATTTGTTGTTTATAACGTTTGATGCTGACATTCAGTTTTCATATATTGAATTTTGATAGAGGTTGTAACAAAAAGTTGATGATAAGTAAGGGAATATTATGCTTAGTTTGAAGGGAGAAAATCCAGAAATAAGGTTTATTGTAGGAATTTATTTTAAAAGCACGGACTCCTCCTACTCTTCTGTTATCTGAGCCTGGTTAGGATAATTATTTTTCATACAGCATAACTAACCTAACCAAACTCTCAAAGTTTGTATAATTTGGAGTAAAAAGCTAGTTAATTTTTGTATTCCATGTAAAGACTACTCCCAATCTGGCTGTTAAATTCAGCCATGTGTATCACCAAGCGATAAGATAAGTGATTCAGATATTCCGAGAACAAAAATTGAGTGACTTTACATAATCAATATAATCAGTGCTTGATTTGTGGAACAACGCGGCTAAACGAAGTTCCGGTACCTCTCTTTCGGAAAGATAAAAATATTGGAGTAAATAGTTCACATTAAATAGGTTAGAGTTCCAGCACCTCATTTTTTTTACAAATCAAGCACTGAATATAGTTACCAAAGCAAAAATATACTGTTTGAAATTGAATATACAATACTACATTGGAAAATATTTACAAAATAAGTTAAGTGTTTCTTCTTTCTTACATGCATTTTGGGTTGTAAAGAGGAATACATTTCCTGTTGCCGTTTCAAAAAATTCCCATTGAAGAGGTTTTATTCAAGCAATTTTTTTTCTTTTATGTTGTGCAATTTTGACTGACTTAACTGTTTGTTTAGGCCCAGTTTATCGCCATCATGGTCCATGCTTTCCAGCTTCTCTTCATCGACTGCAACTACCCACGCGCCTTCGTCTGGTGGATCGGAATGCACGCTGTCATGTTCTTCTTCCTCTTCAAGGAGTTCTATAACCAGTCATACAGCAGGCCAAGAAAGGTATTGTAACCAATATTCTTTGCTCATTTATTGTTTGTATGTGTGTGGATTTGTACAGAGCTACAGACAACACTGTGGTAAGTTTGGTATGTGGGTATTCCTTTTTTTGTTGATCAGGTAAAAAGATTACACTACTGTGAGTCACTAGGTTTGCTTTTGATTTAAGCTGCATCAATTAGCTTATACGCAGTTATACAGTTTTAATTGCCTTTCTCCTCACAACATCACTGTTTGCACAGGCCAGAGCAGCAGCAGCAGCGGCGGCGGCTGCGGCCAACGGTAACGGCTTAGCAAACGGAACAGCGAACGGAGTGGCCAACGGAAAAACAGAACAGAACGGCACAGCACAAAACGGCCACACCAAAACTAAGGGCTACAGCAACCAAGCGGACTATTACGCCACAGGGGAGATGACTAGGCCGGAGCTTGTACAACGGACAATCACCAGCAAAAGAGATTGACCGCCAAGCGGTGTACTTAATGTAGATAAGATGTACAGTTCTAGTTTGTATCTTGTTTGTTGTTTATTCTAGTTACATTTTTGTAAGAAACCTAGTACCCGTTTAGGTGCCGAAATTATTGTCTTGCTTTCATCCTGAGCCCATGTCAGTTTGTGATTTTTTACCGATTACATTTCTTTTCTTTCGTACATGTTTGTGTTGTATGTTTAAGTTGCTCAATTTCTCTCTTCCCTCTTACCCAGGAGACAGTCCCAGCAATACAGTAACTAGGTAGAAGAGTGTGTTCATAGAGTTAATAGATGTGCCTCTAGTATTAATCGTGCATTGTTGATTACTAATAGGTAACTACTTAATTGTCGCAGTACTTCCAGAAATTAAACTGTGTTCCACTTTTTTCAGAACTGCCTTTTTTAATACGAGTTAAAAAAATGTCTTATGTGTGAACTAAACAATTTTGTATTTTCGTCTCTTTAACTGATTAAAAATATCGAAAGTACTACTGTTGTTTAAGTTGATTTAAAGTTAAATTCCATATTCTAACTGTATATTTGTTGATCTTAAAATAATTTAAAAAGCTGCATGAAGCATAACAATATGCCTTTGCCATGTTGTGCCTTCAGGGCTTTCAGGGACCACGATTTTATTGTTTTTTTTTCATGACAATATTATTTTAAGATCGTAAAATTTCTGAGCCTTCATAAAGCAAAATAAACGGTTGAACCTGAGCTTGGCAGTTTTATTAGAAATGTTGGATTACTTAAATCTAGAACTGTATCACTTGATGTACTGGTATGAGCTGTTAATTTTGTAATAGTCATCAGCATTTTTCTAAAAATATGAAATGGGCAAGGATACATTTACAATGTTTTTATTTCAAGTCTCGAGACTACGATTCCACCGCAATGTTTTCTGATGACTTTACTCTATGTATATTTTGATCTCTTATAGCTTACTAAGATTCAATGTCCTATTCTATAAAAATATAAACAAATATTATTCGCTGTTTTTCTCTTCGACTTCAATATTAAAAAGTTTACATGTTGAGTAATGCAACAAATAATTTAAAATATTTCTACTTACTAAGCAAAACCTAGCAACAAAGGAAGACATGAATGATTGCATGTTGACTAAGTAATTTGTTTATGACTTTGATTAGTTGAAGTCTATAGTAAAACCATAAATAACGCAAATAAGTCCAAAAGTGTTTTTTAATGATTTTTTAAATAAAAGGGACTCATGCTAACATTTATACCCAAGTTAAAAACAAGAGAATCAGCTTGTGCCAGAAATTTTTTAAGTAGGTCTCCTCGATAGATTTGTCATATTCAAGATTTTTATTTCTTATTTCGTCATACTGTAATTATTTATTTATTAATGTATCTCTTCCATGTTTGTACTTAATTACTGTAATTCTTCTTTAGTCTTATTGTATTTGTAGTTTTTTTATGTGTAAATTTGCTAAGTTTATTCGTACACTTGTCAGAAAGTGTAATAATCAAAATATATTATATCAAATAAAGGATCATGATTATTGAAAGCAATATTTGGCTACAATTTATGAGGTTACTTATGTTTTTGTGATCTAAATCAATATTTAATTAATATACTGTTTTTCATTGATGATGGATAGAATATTGTATTGTATCTTGTGTAATTATGTGAAACTCTTGTTTATATTAAATATATATTTTACTATCGTCTAATCTTTTTTGTTTTCCATTTTATGTAAAAACTCATTTGTAGTTTTATAGTCACTTGAAATGTAATACTCCTTTGACCAAATGTTTTCATTTCTAGTTTACAGTATGATTAGTGTTAAAAACTAGCTGGGTAGCTCAGTGGTTTTAGTGCTCGCCTAGTAATCAAAAGATTACTGGTTCAATCCTGAGAGGTGTGTAGCTTTTTGGTTGTTATTTGTTATTTGTTATTTGTTATTGTTGTTGTTTTGGTTGTTTTGGTTGTCCGAAACTGGACCCAAGCAGTCCTTGATATTTGGGCTTTTAATCAATGGTCCTGACTAATGAAACAGCTGATCTTAGACAGTAACAAAGAAAGCTACACAAGGCATCACACTCCATTCTACACTCATCCTTCACTCATATTTGGGTTAAAATACACACATAGCATCCCCATCTCAAATTATATTGATATTGATAATAAGATAGATTCATAATATTATGCTAGGTGACAAACCACAACCTAGTTAGAAAAGTTAAAAAATCAAAATGGGATTAAGAAAAATATGGTGTTAAAATTGTAAGGATTATGATACTGTTTTGCTTTTTGTTTAAGAAAGCTATGTGGACTACACATTGTCAATGCTTTATTTTTTTTAGATCACCAGATTTGCAAATTCAAACAGTGTTTAATAGACCTCAAAAATGTAAAAACAACTTCAAATATTGATTGAAACTTGAAAGTGTTAAGACCAGCAACTAGTGTTATGAAATCATAACACTCACTAGTTGCTGGTCTTAACACTTTCAAGTTTCAATTAAATCAAGTTTTGAATCTCAAATGAGATTCAGCTGATTTACAATTTTAACCCTTACTGCGCTGTAGACGAATATTCCCCAAAATTCCCTTTGCTCAAAACACTATGGATATACTCGCCTTTTAATACAAAGTGCTGGTCTTGGTAGTTCCCACTTTTGCCGATAGAGTGCAGCAGCTATTGGGGAACATCTCTCGTGATGGAAATCACAATAGCAACGTTTCCCGCCCTCCGAATGTTCAAAATTGTGGCACACTATACTTGCCGGTCTCTGCTATGACGCTATGAGAGGTGCCAGTGCTGTGGTCAGACTAACTTGCAAGTGTTAAGTTAACTTGCAGACTCCGCGGGAAACTTTGTTCTCCGCTGCATTCGTTATTATATTGGTTTTATTGTTGTTATATTATGAGAGCTTTGACTTTTGGGAAAAATATTTTTAGGTACAGTACGGTCAAGACCACCCAACATATCTGTAAGGATTAACACCACTTCTATCTGTCTGGATTTTGTGAAGTCCGTTGTTTGAAATAATTTCTTAAATAGTGTACTGTACAAAAACAAGTTCAACACGGTCGCTGCTGAAAATCTTTACACAGGCGCTCGTAAACTGCGGAAAGCCCCGGCGCGCTAACTGAATCAGCGATCGCTATTGGCATTCAAATATCTCAGTAAGACGAATCAGAATAAAGCAGTGATGATTGTTCTGCGTTACCCCGAATGTAGACGTAGTTCACTGAAACACCCAAAGGTAGCACCACTGCCTGGATCAATCACCAGAGTCTTTGTAATATGGCTCGAATAGAGAAAATCCCCCAAACCGGGACAAAAGCATTGCCAGACGGGATTTTACGGGAATGTTTAGTACCAACCTACACCAAAATAAAGCTCGTATTCTAAGCTACAGCCTGGCAACAATCACAGCGTCCCCGGCTGAGTGCTGGGCTCAGGCAGACGCAATATTTGGCAGGCGAGCACACTACTGATACAGCAGTAGGCCGCGTGCAGTGCTAGTGTCGCGCTACTGCTATAGCAGTAGGCCGCAGCGAACGCGTTAAAACGGTTATGCTGTTAATAATGGGAATGAAATATAAAACCAGACAAGGATTGTTTTGTTAAGACAAGTAAATATATTACAATATATATGCAACGGTCAATCAGCAACATTTGTTACAAATAACAAACAACTAACGTTAAATAACATGTCTACATTGATACATATAACATCACATCTTCGTCCATAACAAAACTGAGAATACAGAGAGTTTTAGCACAAAAAGTACATTGAATCCAGAAAAGTAAAGGTCATTGAAAAACACTTTCATCAGTCATAACAAATTAGAGTTCCAAATTGAATAATATCTTAACAATCATCTTAAATACAAACTTCTTGAAGTTATCTTTATCCTGTGTATTGAGAGGAATATCAGATAAAATTGTACTTAAACCTTTGCAAAAGAAAATATTTCAGCTCAAGACTTATATATATTTTTCAAATAGATCTTCACATTTCTTATTTCGTTACTTAAGAAATATCCAATCTTTAATTTTTGAAAAGTGTTATTTGATGGACGTCAAAACTGCAGTTATATGTCAATTAATTTGTACAAAAATGTAATAATAAATATATATTGTTGGAACAGTACATTATCGGGATGGACTGAGCAGTCATTTAATTTCTTAGCACTTAAATGTATAGTAATACAGTAGACTCTCGAAAATCCTAACTAAAGTGGCAAGCATCTGATTCGGATTCTTCAAAACCAGGACTTAAACTGCAGGAGTTGGCTTATATACAGGGTGTTTTTAAAAGAATGCCAAGATTTCAAACGGTCGTTGCTTGGGGATTATTCAAGATAATTCAACGATTTAAACGTCAAATTGAAGGGAAAAGAATAACGATTTCTTTTTCATTCTTTCATACAATTCGGAATGATTTAATAAAATTAAGATTTCTATCAATCTTATATGAGCGTAAAACTGGCAAAGTCTGTACGCTTAGGGCGATCGGCGGGTTTATCTGATGTCTTAACTGAACCTCTTTCGGCACAAAGACTATATTATAGATAACATCATAATTTAGGTTTGTTCAACTGAAGACTTCGTCGGGCAATCGATTTTTTCGGGCTTCTGATGCAGAATTGCCGGATTTCTTCGACTATGTCATCGCTTGTTTTTAGCCGGCCAGGTGAATGTCTTTTCAAAACACTTCAGTGCCACGAAACTCATCAAACCAGCTTCAAGTTTCTTTATCACCAAGTAGATTTTAATTTAGTTTAATTTAACAATGGATATAAACTCTGTGAACTACAGATTACAATCTGTGCCTTCTTTTACACCGTAAATGTCGTACTACTGGCGACTGGCGTCAGGCGTATGAGTCACAATAGTGGCCTATCACCCGCACCTGTTTTACGCATGCCAAGGTCCAAGTTTCCTCCCTTACTACAGGGGAAACAAAACTTAGTTATTTTAGCTTCAATTTGACGTATAAAACGTTAAGTTACCTTGAATAGTATCCAAGCAATTGCCATTTAAAATCCCGGCATTCTTTTTAAAACACCCTGTATATAAAAATATTGTGTATCATAATTCAAAACTCAAAAATAGTTTTATAACCCGCGGTGGTGTCCTAACCGGGAGACAAAATGTGTACGACCGACACAATTGCAGCGACAGTGAAAATTACCAACACATAGGCATCAGCTGTGATAGTTGAGCAACTGACATAACTAACTGTCATATAGTGTTGACAGTTTATCCTTGATCACCTTACCGTCACATCAGTTATTCTTTACGCTTCTTCAGTGAAAAGTGCTCTTGTTTGATTCTGTACGAAGCAGTAATATCTGAGTTACGCAAATCACCTAGAATAGCGGAATATCTTCAAGTAAATGATTGGTTGGAGCTGTATCAACACTTTCTCAAGTATACATTCGTCAGTTTGGAGTTTTTAAGTAACATCTAATGGTTTTGTTATACGCAGCAAACATATTTTAACCCACTGTTAACTATACAGTACTGAACGCCATCGCGCTATATGGTTGTGTGAACCACTGTATATACATTTTTTGTTACTGAAATGACCGAAGTCAGTTGCATCGTTTGAGCTAATTTTGCTGCCCAGATTCCTCATCAGTTTTTAATGCATGTCTGCAAATACCGACAGTATCTTCTGATGTGTAATACAAAAGATATTTAATTTATGCAGTATGGAATATTAATTAGAATTTAAGACTTTAAGCCGGCTACACAATTGTGATAGTATATTATCACTTACAATAAGTATTTAAATCAGCCCTTTTCGCCACATAACAACAAATCTGTTATTTAAATATAGGAGTTAATTAATTAATTAATCCTAGAATCCATTCTATCCGAGTATTTGCTTAAGATCCACAAGAGTCTACTTTACAAACAGTTTTGCAAGTTAAAACATACATACAGATACAATTTTTATTTTGATTAAAGATTAAAGTTTCAAGTTAGATACAGAAAGTAACAAATGTCAACATTAGGAACGTGTAGAAATATAATATTTACAACAAAACGAATAAATTAGACAAACTTGAGTAAGTGTTAAATATCACAATTCACATTTAATATCAACAACTAACCACTCTTCATCTTTATTACAGTATGGAAAGATGTATGATACATACAATAGGTAATATAAAAGCCTTACAATTAATACACTCGATACATTCACTGTTGGATGGAGAAATACTTTTTTTATTCTGCTTGTTTCCTATATTTAAACCTAAGGAAGACTCAATGGTCCAATAAAAGCAGTAACAACGGCTTGAAACTCATATTTCATTGAAGATATTTGGCAACATTGCAACAGTTCCTATTAGACCACTAGTATGTAACAATTGAATGAAAGATAGACTAATTATTGATAATTGTTGGCCATGTTATTCAAATCAGTTGAAATCTTGTCTTTTGAAAGATTTGAGAATTTATGATGTATTTTAACCACTTGTGAACACTGGTATTGTTAGGAAATTACACTAAAAATATTTAATGGTATGAAAAATCATTTATTCTCAGAAAAAAACTCTGACATACGATTTTTTGAATCTACGTTTTCACAAAGCTTTTTCTAGTGTACAGGTTCTGCTTTTAAACAATTTTTGTTTTACCCACACATAAAATATGAGAAACAAGCAGATAAGTACATTTTTCAGGCACATATAACATTAAATAAAGCCACGGCTCTAACATATCAACATCCACACAATCATACATACATAGGAACAATAACTCACCGGGAGGTTCGTAGTAGGCAAGATCTCGTCAGTTCCAACTTTGAAATACTAACTGAGTGTTTTAACATAGACTTTTTTTAAACCGAATAGTATTAAGGATAGAATTGTCCCTGTTATGTTTCCTAGTTTGTTGGTTATCTGAATAAAATTTAAAATACATACTTCTTCTTTTTTCTTCTAGGTAAAGAAAAATTAATTTGGTCAACAAACAGAAATCAAAATCAATTGTCTATTTTTATAATTTAACATGTAATTAGCAGTAAAAAAATTACTCATAAGCACTAGTTTCAAGAATACCTGTGCTAAAAACAATACTTTATAGATTAATTTTAGTGATTTTACTTCCAATCATTACTGTATGCTTATGCTATCTATGAATGTGCTTGAAAAGTAAAATACGTTAAAGTATTTACCAAATATTTCCTAGGATTATGTCCAATAGATATTATTAAACTACTGGATTTGAATTTTGTTGAGAACAGCATTTTTTATTTATTTATTCATGCGAAATACATGAATCCTTCTTAGTCCACAATAAGTAACAACCAAAGTCTAGCTTTGAGAGTTTGAACATGACAGAATCGCCTGTTTAGACTCAACCAGTGGTTAAAGGAAGATTTGAAAGTATTTTTAATTTGGCGGTTTATTTGGTGTTATGGCAATGTAAGGCTTCATCTAAGGCAAAGTTATTTTTGTTTTTCCAACTAGTTGTGACTTTTTCAAAGTTCCAAAAGTTATTTATGATTACTACTACTCCCAAAAGTTTTTGTTGGGAAGATGTATTTTCTATTAGCTAAACTAAACCTAGACCGTACTGAAATGTTTTGAGCGCAAACTTTTTACAGTTGAAAATTTAAGCAATGAGCCCCCACAAATAAAACATACGTTTCTAGTTGAATATTTTTATCTGCCGTCACACATCTAAGTTAGTAAATAATATAAATGAATCATTAAAAATACTTTCTCATGGCATCTTCCAAGGGTAAGTGCAAATAAACAGTGCAACACATATAAATTTCTTATACTAAAATAAATATCAAACTATAGACCTAATAACTATTTTATATACAAAATATTACATCAAAAATGTTCTTATTTACAAATAAATAATATCAATAACATCAATTTTTATCATTGAACAATTATAAATACAACTTATTTCCTGGACTTTGCAGTGGTTTTTAATGGTAATTTTAAGAGTTACCTTAAGATATATATGAAAGACATAAAAATCAAAGTAAGTAATAGTCTTTAAGTAGAAAGAAAATCAAAAAAAGTGTAGTGCACTTCTGTATTAATTTGATTATTCAATATTTATATTCATAAAGTGATCGAAGTCTCAGTAGATTACCAACTAACTCATTGTATAATCTAGAATATGTACTGTGTTAATTAAAAGAATTATAATTATTTACTTAAACCACCAACAAATCCAGGAATTATTTTACATCTAATGTACAAGTCAGTATCTTTATTCTTGGTGTTTACAAGTTTAAACGTCAAATACATTTCATCAACTGTAAAAGAATATCTATTTTATATTTATAAATACTAGATATTTCAGCACAAAAATATCAATAAACATTTGATTAAAAACACACTATTTGAGTCAACAAAATATACATTTAATTTGAAACATCATATAGAAATTTTTACAAAATCAACTTAAACTAGCAAACATCGCTAAAAGTAAATAAAATACAATTGAAACCATTTGTGGCTTCAAGATCATGTTTTTATCTACGAATATAATGACCAAGAGTAGACCATTCAATAAATGAATCAATTTGATGAAGTCAGCACAAAACAGAAGTTTATGCATTGTGTGTTGTATTTGCTAGATCCTGACACAGAAAACATAACATACTACTATAACCCAGAATGCCAACCGCATGGTAAAAAGCATTAAGTGTTTTGAGAGAGCTTTGCCTGTCAATCGTAGGCAGCGCCACCAGCGTTGCCATGCACTCAGCATAGCAACGCTGGTGGCGCTGCCTACGATTGACAGGCAAAGCTCTCTCAAAACACTTAATGCTTTTTACCATGCGGTTGGCATTCTGGGTTATAGTAGTTTGTTTTCTGTGATCCTGAGAATATGGTTTATTCTGCACCAAATGCCATTAAACTGGAAAAAGATTAATTATTGCATCCAACAAATAGATTAAAGTAGCCAATAAGACCAAACTATTTACCTCAAAGACAAAAAATAAGGTGTACTTCTGCCAGTTTGCTTTGTATTCATTCAATGAATAATCTACTCCAGTAGATAATTTAAATAAACATACAACAGTTAATTGAAACAAAACAAATTGGAAAGAGGAGTATTATGTTTGTGTAGGATAGCAATACTTATATAACTGTAGATTCGGAAAACAAAATGTTAAAAACTAAGATAATTTTACAAACTTAGATACGGTATAAAATAATTTGAGGAATTGTAAGAAAAGTGTTAACAAAAAATCAAGTATTGAAAACATAGTGGACTAAAATCCCAATATGAGTAGTGGCTCACTCAGTTTTATACACTTTGTAAAACATAAACAAATTCAATCTAATCCAGATTTAACACTTTGATGAAGCAAATACTTACACATTATTTCAATATCACATTTATTTCTATATACAGATGAAAATCCGTTGGGAAAGTCTCGATCACATTACATAACCCTTCTTGAAAACTACATGTCGTTAACAGACGTTCGAGTTCCTTTGTCGTCCACGTACTGGCGAATGACATCAATCAGTTCTACCTGAAGGTAAAGAGGGACACCAGGACTAACGGAAAGCTAACACGGAAAGCTTCAAAACAGCTGACATCGACAGGAACAAACACGCAGCAGTCTTTACATTTCACAGCTGCCTTCCGTTGTTTCAGACATGCAGTTTTCCTGGAAAGTAGAAAAAAATAGTGTTATAAAATGATGTGGGGGTGAATTATCAAAACGTAAAATATTGACAAGAAAACATAGCTCTCAAAAGATTTACCTTGTTTTCGCCTTGACCGTAAAACTTGACCTTGGGTTGAAAGAGTCACTTTACACCCTAGTGATGAAATACTATTTCAAGTTGATACCTTGTTACTGTTATTAGACTTTTGTTAGGGCTTTAATAGTTTACTCTAATTATTATTTTACAATACAGAGATGAACATTGGATACAAAAAGAATTAAAGTGGGGATTCATTTATGTGTTTCTTCTAGGAATATATATATCTTTTTTAGCTCAAACCGCCCAGTATGGTGGTACTTGGAGGAATAGGTTGATCTTTGTCCGTTTCTGGCAACCAGAGAATTTCATTGAGTTACACCTGGGACCTGAATGGAGTAGGATTGCAGACATTTTTCACAAATGTGCAGACAATTTTGTCAATTCTCAACTTTCCTAACCCTAAACATCTCTCCTTTCCAAAGGTTGTACAATGATTAGGCAAAGAAAGCATTGGTGGGCAAGCTACGCTGGGCCTTCTACTTTCTCATGCTACAAATGAAAACACACTGGTATTCAAAATAAATCCATTTTTTGATTGCTGCATTAGAATCAAAAGTAAAAAAAAAAACATTCTAATAACCGTTGAAAATATTCACATCCCTCCTTTAAAAAAGAAACTCAGAAAAGAATAAAGTAGAGGTTAGGTGAAAACAAAAAGGAGCATCACACAACTTAAGCAGAAAAGATGTAGCTGAAGCCTATGTAACAGATAAAATACATACATTTACAAATTTTTTCAATTTTGTAATTGGTTAATGCTTATCTTTCAGCTATTTAAGCTAGCTTGTGAAAAGACCTGCAGGGATAGCCCGTAGAACTTTCTATATAGAACAGTTTTCATCAAAGAGAACAAAGGAGGACTAATTATTGAACAATAGCAAATGAAAGCTTTTCTATAAATCAAACTAACTAACGGGCTATTAAGTACAATCATCCATAAATCATATAAAAGGTGGGCTAAAATAAAACAAAATCGCTGAGTTTTCTTGTGGTATTCTTTTGCTCTTGTAGGTGTTTGATGACTCCTTTAAGTCTAGTTCTAAACTATGAAATAAAAATGTGGGATGTCACTAAAAGCTTCCTATGAACGATTCTACAGGCCTAGTGGAAAAGATAAAATTATCACTCACTTAATCATCTTCCAGGGGTCACTGTGAGATAGAAATATTGGTTACAAAATTATTTCAAAACCATTCTACCGGTCTCCTAAGGAGTAGGGCTACACACTATCTAGTTGTAAATTGAAGTTCATCTAACTAGCATCTGTCTTGGACTATAATTCCTTTTGAAGATCAAACTAAACAAGTATATACTTACGAGAAGAGTTACCTGCTCCTGCTATTGTTTAAAACTGAAGAACGACGACCCAATCTCCCAGTCTATGAAGTCGAGGGGTCCGAAGCACTCATCCCAGAATGCCTCCATGGCGTGGTACAAGTGGAATCGGACACCATCGAAACTGTGGCCCTCGTCCGGGTATGTCTGAAAGGTAACAAGGCCGTTGATTAGATATGGTGTATTTGATGAAGCTTGTTGACAAATTACTGTCACTGCCTCACAAAGAAAGTCATGTCAGTTTTAGTTAGGGTTCAATACTGTGTTATATATAGGGTGGAAATAAAGTCCGAAGACAGTTAAATATTAAAAAAAAAATTTAGCTAGAGCTACAATACTTGGTACAAAGTTACAGAGCATAAAACTTTATTTTAACTCATATTCAGTAATCCAATAACTCTTCAAGGGGACGGCCCACAAGGAGTCGGAAGAAAATCTTAAAAGGAAGCTTAGGTCAATATGCACATCAAATTAAAGGTCTTTTTTAGTAGAATACAGTGCCGCAAACCACACTTCGAAAGGTTGATCCTGCCCAAAATTGCAGATGTTCAAAGATTTTCAAAATTATCCAATTTCTTTAAATTAAACACTATTTTAAATCTTTAAACAACTGTTATTTTTAACGGATGGTCCTTTTGAAGTGCGGTTTGCGGCATTGTATTCTACTAATAAAGACTTTTAATTTGATGTGCATATCAACCTATGCTTCCATTTAAGATTTTCTTCCGACTCCTTGTGGGCCGTCCCCTGAAGAGTTATTGGATCACTGAATAGTGTTAGGGAGTTTTATGCCCTGTAACTTTTGTACCAAGTATTGTAGCTCTAGCTAAATTATTTTTTTAAATATTTAATTGTCTTCGGACTTTATTACCACCCTGTATAATGTTCAATGCTTCTAATAATATACCGAAAATACCGATTGAGCCACCTACTCCTTATTTTGGCTAGAGGAACACAAACGACAACATACCTGATGACGGAACATGATGCCCCCCTGAGTGAAGGCATGTACAAGAATCATGCTGTGCTGGAAGTGCACAGTGTTGTCAGCTGATCCATGGATCAGCAGGAAAGGCTTGTCTTTGAGGTTCCCCGCATGTTTGCTGAGGTCAGACTCTTCGTAACCTCGGTAGTTGTCAGTGACGTTCGGAGTGCCCATGAACTTCTCAGTAAACACTGCATCTGTTGAGTTGAAGACCCAGATTTGAATTTCCAACAATGGATGCCATTAAAATGTAATATACTGTAATAATGTTATGTGATCTTACAATTCTGTTTGCTGTTTGCAAATAAATATTTTATGGAAAGGCGACAAATGGGGGTGAGTCCACCTACTTTTTTGAGACCACTATTACATCCAAGTAAAAAGACACTTGCATCCAACAATTTTCATTAAAAATCCTAGTAGCAAATGCTTGAATGAAAACGATTGGGGGCAATAACAACCATGGTGTCATTGAATTAATAAGATTTTGTTAACATTTTCAAACTTGTATTGTGATTCAGAACTATATTCATAATGTTTATGGTGGATTTGCAACTGACTTCCAGGTACTTTGTATTTCAAGATTACTAGACACACTAACCATCACTATCAGTATCAGGGGAGCAATTTATTTTGTCATTTAATCTTACTAATTTGATTCCTATAGACCAAACAAATAAAAGGATGGTACTGTCTTGGACGCTGATTTAAACTCTATAGTCTAAATATACGGTCCATCCAGATTTCATTTTAAATTCTCTTTACCCTAATTTGTAAGGATAGGAAAATTTTCACTGTCTAAAACAGATATTTTGAAATATACAATGCCTAAAAATAAGATGTTTGTTAAACAAACCGTAGTGAGCCCAACTGGTGATGGGCGCCAATGAGATGCCACAGTGGAACAGGCCAACCTCTTGTGAGAGGATCATGGCTGTGGCAAACCCTCCATAGCCCTTGCCCCACACACCCAAGCGACTGCGGTCAATGAACCTGAGGTTGTCTCTCAGATATCTGCAAAGTATAAAACTGTGTGTGAAACAACAACCAAGCCACAGTACAGTAGAACAGTGGTCACATTGTTGTGCTAAACACGTTAAATATTTAAAAAAATCTTCTTTGACCTTATTGTTATTTTGAAAATCATTACTGTACGTTTTTGGGAAAACTGTTCTACACTGAATATCACAACGGTGTTAAGTATATGACCATTAAAGCCATACTTAACATCTTTTCTCATTGAGTTGGTGCTACTACATGGATTTGCCTCAGAAATGTGCGTGTTGTTCTATGTGTCCTCTCACCACAATATATCATTGCCTTGAAGCATAGCAAGGGAAGCCAAAAAATGTATTGAACTGTTGTAATAAATTGTTGATAAAAAGGCAAAGTCCTGGATGAAAATCTACAAAATCGCTGTTTTGGTTTCACAATTACATTACAGTACTGACTCAACCACCAACTCACCAGATACTTCTAGTGTTCAAAGCATTCAATACATGCATTGAACTAAAAATTCTTTATTTGAATCAAGAAAACCATGCAGCTAATATCTACAACTTACGTGATGACAGATATTTGGTCCAGAACGTCGTCTTGACCTACTCGGCGGAAGATCTCGTGTTTCATGCGATCGCCTTGGAAACCCGAACCTCGTCCGTCAATCTCGGCCACGATGAAGTTCCTCTGACTAACGAGGTAAGTGCTCCAGTCTACGTTCCACCTCTCTGTTACCACCTGTCCTCCTGGAGTCGTGCCTCTAAAAAATGTTTCTGGGAGTTTATAAAATGAATTTGCTCTGGTTGGATGGTTGGTGTTCTTGAGATTTGAACTTCGATCATGATAATGATACACTTAGAGTACTTGCAATATGGTGCCCCAATGCTTCTGAGCGAATTGCATTTTATCATATGGCGTTGTCTGTCAGACAACTGGCAAAGAATTGGTGAAAAGTTGGAAAGACTAAAAATGCCTTTTAAGTATTACAGGTATAACATTTATATATTCTCTGAAGATCAATCTTAATTGATCTTATCTTATCCACCCCAAACCTTTATTCAAAGTGTTAAGACATTGAAGTTTTGCTTCCTTTGTATTTGAAGGCTTGGAAAGCTCATGGATGAATTTTCAAAGTGTGTAGTAGTGTAATATGCATGATTGACTCCTGTTGTTCATACTAAAATCAAATTAATCTCAAATCAATAATAATGATCAAATATAAATATACAGTTGAAATTTCTTCAACTTCCCAAGGTGACTATGGCTACTGGAGCCGCCACTGTGTACACGTTCAAGCTTTCATTGAACTCTGAACCCATTGAACCCGGTAATAAGATTGGGTGTGTTACTGGCCTATTGATTAGCATCTCGGACTTCGATCGGTGCTGGAGGGACGGGTTCAATCCCAGCACATTTGGGTTTAGACCGCTTTCCTTAAAAGCGTTGAAGTGCTTTCTTCTGCAACCCCACAAGTAAAAATGCCAAGTAACAACTTCTACTATAGCTAGACTGCTTGTGTTTCATAATTTGTGAATTAACAAGTTAGATAACAAAAGTAAATAAACAAGTAAGTTGGGTACATTAACCTCTATTTTTGTACAAACTCACACTTTGAGTATGAGAGGGAAGGCCATCTCCTCGTCCTCTCGCATGCCTGGAGGCAGCAGCAGCTTGACCTGAGCCTGGTAGCCGGACTCCATTTCTACAGGGAAGATCCGCACCTGAGGTCGGGCCATTGCTGCGTACTGTTGCGCTAACAGAGAGTTACCGTCTAGTAGCGCTACCTTGGTGTTGGTCAGGGCGTTCATCACCAGAACACTGGGAACATCAGGACCTGTACAAAGGTGAAATGGCGAAATTAATTTGTGTGTGTGTGTGTGGGTTTCAACACCATATTGGTTTTTTTACGTTTTGTAATAGTCCAAGCCTTGGTCTTGTTATCATTTAATGTCGATCTTTGTTAGCATGATAAATTGGCAGGAAAATTAAAAAATGGCAATTAAGTCCAGAATTTACCCTGAATGGATCAAGCTATAAAACTTTCATATCATAACAATATTTTGATATATTTATATCTATAAATCTATATATTTAATTCCGTAAGCAAATCGGTCCCCACTAAATATCTCGAGCTAGGAAAAAGGTAGCATGTCCGTTGAGGATTCATTTTAAAGCTTAAGATCCAAGGACGGTGGGAAAAATATCAGAAGTGTCAAAAATTTCCCCTGCTCTGCCCCACAGACCGTCAAAGATCCAGTCATTTTCTGATGGAAGTACTGCTACAGTGTTTATAAGCTGTTTTAAATATACCAGCTGATGTAAACATTGCATATTTGTTAGTTTATTGATTTTAGTGTTCTGATTTTAGGTTAGAATGGTAACGCAGAGTTGAAATTTATCGTGTTTGGAAGACCGCGACTACAAAGGAGTTGAAGGAGAGTTAGGAATGGTGCATAGCATAGGGATTGTTAAAGGATTTTATATATGTAAAACATACTCACCCAAACACTCGAGAATATAAAACCGTGGACTTAACCCAGGTGAAAAGGTCGCTCGTGTGTACAAACAAGACATGGATTTGACTGGATACATATCGTTTGTCTTGTTTTCATGTACACTGAAAAAAATAAAGTGAATTTCTTTGAATTATGGCTTACATACAAGTTTGATGCATATTTTTGGCAGTTTTTGACTGTTACTAAAGTATCAATTGTTAGAAGATGTTGAAATAGTAGATAATATTGAAATTTTCAACTCCAAATGCTTTATTAAGGCAGTGACAGAATTTGTGTTCATAATTTAAGCTGGATATCAATATTTCAGCATGAATGTAGAATCTAAAGTGGAGATAACTAAATGTTCATGTATTAAAGCTGCTACCAGTTTCAATAGAAAAGTTCATCTAGAGAATTATTTATTCTCTAAGAGAGTGTGCTTATGTCATTTACTGATTGCCCTTATGTACAACCTGTAAAGCGGCATTTTTTTAAACTGGATCTTTTATCATTAATCATGCAACCTTTTGATCATTAGGTGAGGACGACTATTATCACTAAGCTAACCAGCTGATATCCTGCTGGTATCTAAAAGTTACCAGCTGTTTCTTTAGTCAAACCATACTGTACCTAGTGATGTTGGACCCATTGACCGGGTATGTAGGACATGTCAAACATTCCCATTGTATTGAAGTGGTGATGTTGACAATGTCAGACACTCGATACACGTGTCTTTGAGCTGGCTTTTTCTCTGGAGCTGCTTCAAAATATCTGTAATACAGAAAATCTCAACTTTACACATTTTGTGAAAGAAAGTTTGCAAGACTGGAACCCAAGACAAGATGAACAAATAATTTGAATAGGAATAGTTGTAGAAAGAGTATGACCCTAGAGTTTATCTAGAGATGAATTGTTTGGTTGGTACCTTGTTATTTTATAGATACAAATATACTCTTTTTACCCATTGGCTGATCAACTGACTGTTTAATTTATGCTGATAATACCTATAAGATCACATGTTTTACAATTAGTGTTCATAATTGGTTTGTATGTTAAAAGGATGAGCATTGTTAACATATTTTGTAGGGTAAGAGCTTCCCCGACTTACCGTACTGAGCGACTTACCGTATCATTAATTTCTATTAATACACCAAGGGCTTAGTAGTTGTAAGGTTGAGCCAATTGAAACGGTTTTAATCTCTCTCTGAAGAAAATAGTAATGTCTGTTGTTGTATAGCACGATAAAATATACATATGCTACATTTTATTTTACTGCTAATCTTTTCACCTTGGTTATGATTATTACCAAAACTTTGGTTATGATTATGTTCTATGCCATAACAGCACAAATTCCTTTTTTTATTTCCAAAGGGCGTTTTCACTTAGTTTATTTGATATTTTTATGCGAATTTGGTGAATGTAAAAAGTAATTACACTGCAAAGTGTACGACAAGATGGAGATAATTATTTTTAGTAACAAATTGATTACACATGCAAGCAGATATAGTTGTTCTTCCTTGTAAAACAAAATTTTACAAACTACCAAAATTGACAAAGCAAATTTGCTAAATTATCCTCAAAACTACATTTACGATTCATTCCCCACAAATTAAAACTTCCACAATTAAGGGAGTACATTTATCTGTAATTATTACAAGAGGGTCGAAAGCTTGAGGAAAATGAGATGGAAATTACTGAAGAAAGTTTCTAAACAGCAATCATGTTTCTTATAGTCAGAACGGTGATTGGACCTAAATGAATGTTTGCATTAAAAGCTGTATTCAGCTAGATAAATGCCTGCCTTATCCCCTCCCTCCTCCAGCTTTAGTTGCCCTAATACCTCCTTTCAAGAGAAATTATGTTGATTTGTTAAAGAGAATAAATAATTTACCTTCTAAATACTGGGATAACTTTCTGCATGAGATAAAAAATTAGCAGTTAAGTTTCCTGTGTTTAGTTATGCTGTGTGTTTAGGTTTCATATTGAACATAAGAGTCTAATTCTAACTAATGTATGGAATAAATTAGTGAAAAATTTCCAAGTTTCTAACGAGTCAGAGGCCAGTTTGTTTTCATTTTGATAAAATAAAAAAAGAAAGACATTATTTAAGTACACAGATTAAATCTTGTGGAAAGGACACCTTCTTACATGGGTAAACGGTTTTTTAATAATTTGCCTGGGTACTACAAATCTATAATAGGATTAGTATCTTTTAAAGCAAAAAAATTTTGAATTTTTGTTGGAAAAGAATTGTTATAGTATTGATCAGTTTCTCGAAGACAAATCAATGGGAATTGTTTGTTTTGTTACCTACTATGTATTTATTTTGACCAATAAGCTAGTTTATTTTAGTATAGTTTGACAATGTCACCTGTTTTGTCTGGCTGTGCCAGAGCATTTAAAAAAACGTTTTGTGACAATAAAGATGGCTTTGACTTTGACTTTGAAGAAAATTACTGCCAGATTGAGTTCCCTCATTCATTTACCTATTATTCCCTTTTATCTTATTTTTGTCTTAATGTCTACTCCAGGGGAATTTTTCTTTACTTGAAGAGTTACAAGAGGAAGTACTCAAACACTTAAAGGGAAAGCAGTCCAAACTCATGTGCTGCAGATGAGCGGTGAATTAAACCCATCCCTTCCGCACCAAAGTCCGAGTCTCCAACCGTTATGCTAACAACACACCTATTTGACAGTATCTCAAATCCACCTACACAATATGGTTGTCGGTGTCCCAGGCCAGCACCCTGGTGACAGTGAGCTGTCCGTGAGTCAAAGGAACGACCTGATGTGACTCGCGGTCTATCAGACAGATGTGTGTGAAGTGTCCAGCATCTGCATCCAGCACTGGGAGCAGAGTCAGGTAGGAGCTGTGGTCTGGCGAGAACACCACAGAACTCGGCTCCACCCACCGTGACGACTTCTGGACGTGGGTCTGTGGATAAAAGGCAATTAATTACAGTTTACAGGTGGCAAATGGTGAGAATTCTCAGTCTTCCAAAGGGAGCCGATTTAAGTCAATATTTATGTATGTATGTACAGTATGTATGGACGGACGTTTTGCACGTTCTATGATGAGGCATCCTCAGTCTCAGGTTTAAAAGAAAAGAATAACATTCGATGTTTTGAAATATTAAATTGACAAATCCTTGTACTCAGTCTGTTTCAACATTTTTACTGGGAACACCATTATAAGTAGTAGCCTACCAATTTTAGCTCTAACCATAGTTTGAAATGTTCAGTCTTTAACTTACTTTTGAATTTTTGTAATCCTGATAGTTAATCACTTAGATAAATCACTCTTGACTTACTTAAATCATAAGTTTATTTGATCGAAGAACAATATATTATCAACTAGGTACAAAAGCAGCCAAGATCAACAAAACAAGTTAGAAGTTATAAAAGAAGTTGAACACAATTTCACTGAGCAAAGCCTGGTCACCATGCATGTATGCACATAAGGCAGATAATTTACTCACATCTTGACATGTCCAAGATGGACTTGAGCAGACAACGATGGCTGAGACGTTTTGTCTACGATTCATCCAGACTACGGCTACGTGTTTGTCTCCAGCCCAACTAACGTCTATCAGGTAAGGTAGCCTAGAACAGAGGACAATATAGTTTACACACAAAATATCAACATTACTCGACATAAAATGGATTAATGTGATAAAACAATAGTTATTTGTGCAACTAGTGAGAAAAGTGAGCAATTGACTCACTCGAGAGAAATCCTTACTCACGAGCCGTAGGCGAGTGAGGAATGGTTTCTCGAGTGAGGCAATTGTACTTTGAACTCGAGTTGCACATTATACTTTTCCTACAGTTACCATAAAACAAATAAATTGGTGAAGAAACATAACCTATTTTTACACAGAAGTGATCTTTTAATATAACATCTAATGTGAAGTGACAAATACAACAGTACAACAGCTGACCAGCTGATTTACAGCCAGTGCTGCCAACGTACTTCGCGCGCATACGACGTTGCCTGCATGTTACGCGCTCACTATTTCGTGCCTTCACGTTGCAAATCTGGAGTGAGACAAAGTAATTAGAGTGAGACAATGTTAACATTGTCTCACTGATGAGCGAATTGGCCACTTTGCTTTCTCAAATCAGTGAGAGAACATGTATATTGTTAGGTAACTGTAGGAAAAGAGATAAACACTTTAAAAACTCAACCATTCCAATGAACCACTAACCCCCCACCATTAACAATTATTGAACTTTTTTTTTACTATTTTGTTGTATGGTTACAATTAAACAACACAATTTTAGAATATGTAGGATTTATTGCACTTTTGAATATAAAGCATTGCCTTGGTATTTTTCTTGAAAGTAATTTTTGTATTAGATTTGCCATTAGTGTTGTTGCCTGAGTTCCTGTAGGTAAAATGTGTTTGTCAACCAATGGATTTTCCCACCTTGTTTTTGTGTGGTATTTTCAGAGGTCTTCTTTGTATTCATCTTCTTATCACTAACACTAAAGTCTATATTTACAAAAGTCATACAATATTTACAAATTATTGTAACTGTATATCACTAGTATTGCGGTCTGGGGTGTATGTGTAAATATTTTTAGTAGGTACTTACTGAGCATCTGCTACCATGACAGGGGTGGGGGGAAGTTGAGTAGTGTTGGGAGTTTTGGGATGAGTCACATTGACCATCCACACTGTAACTTCCGGAATCGTTGTTCCGGGCTGGAACAAAATCAACTTGGTTGGATACAGTAGTTTGAGTGAGTATAAATCTATTGGTTCATACCTTACTCTCTTCCAAGGAGGTTCAGACAGTAACACAAATACTTTAAAGGGCAAGCGTTCTAAACACATTAAAAACATTTGTGGGTGTCCCGCAAATCCACCCCTCTTGCACCAAAGTTTGGAACGCTAAATACTAGGCTAGCAACACTCTAGTATTCTGCATATTGAAGTGTAGTGCAAAATTTAAACTGTGAAAAGGATTATTCCTCTTGTAGTATTTACAGGTGTTCATAAGTAAATGTCAAGAGGTCAATAGCATTCTTCATTATTGACTGATGATCATTGAGAAGCCTAGAATCAATCCTCGTCACATTCAATTACATATTTTTTTGGTAAAGTGGCAACAAATGTAACTGACTGTGAAACAAACTTTTTCACACAAAAAAATCAAAATTTCAACGTAGGTATTCAAGTTACAATACAAATTATAACAACATATCAACCAAAAACATTTTCAGGAATGAAAATAATTATTTGAAATTTGAATTTAGCGGGTTTTATTACTCAATAATGGATTTAACGGGTTTTGAAACTTAAATAAATTTACATAAAATGCTTTTGCTCTAAAGGGTTAGAGGAAACCGTCCAATAAATGATTTAGTTAAAAGACACTTTTATATTTTACTTTGACTAGCTTATAAAACACTAAAGCACTAAAATCTTTACATGGTTGAAATATATAAATAAAAATTAAAACATATTTCACATAAGTTTTCAAAGATAAAACTTTTATTCGAAAGACATTAAGACTCTTATGTGAATTGTAGTGAATAATACTTTTATTTACTGTAAGGACACAATTAATTTCAATATGGCCAGATGCACTTTATGCTTCAACAAAATGGGCTGACATTTGATCTTGAGAAACCTGTAAAACTAGACAGTTGTAAACGAAAAGTCTGTTTCCAACAGCAGCGAACAAGGCTCTTGAAGTAATAAAACTTCAACTTTTATCAACATCGCTACTCAATTTAGATTTATCTTTTCAAATTCAATTTATTCTTTAAATTGAAAATAGGAATTTCCTCAACGAGAGTAAATACTTTAAAATGGTTTGGTGGGAAATTTGCCAAATATTGGTGTTAAATTCCTAAACTTCTTAAAAACATCAAAATAATACAATATATGAGGGTGTCTTGTGTCGTTTATTTCTTTATAATATAATAATCTTATGATTATTTTTTGTACTTCAAAATTAATATTCATATTAAAAGGACCATTATGAATGTTTTATGTTTATGTTTGTTTTTTATGAATGATTTAATATTCATAATAAACATGATAAAAGGCAGTTTTACCGTGAAACTTATAAGTGAAATATAAATAAATACATAGAATACAGTTGGTATATCATTTATATTGAATGAGTTCAGTTTTAGTTTAAAGATTAAGTTGCTTGTTTATATATTTTACTCACAAACATATTAAATATTTCATTATTTTCTTGGGAATGTTTAATTAATGTTGTGCGGAATAAATTCAAGGACTCTAAATAATAATTTAGAATACAATATTATAATTTATCAGTATGACATTTGACTTCAAAGGTACATCACAAGGTAAAAATTATGAACTTAAACAATAAACTAAAAAGTTTCATTCAACAGTATTATACCAAATTAAAGAATTACATTCTAGTTAAAGAAAATAAAAAAATAAAATAAAAATGGAAGTTTATCAAAAATGAAAAAAAACAATAACTAACATTACAGTATGAAGTGCCAAGGATACTTCTCAAAATTGTAAAGAAAAAACAAAAAGGTATTTACATGAAACTAATGAATACCCATTTGTACTACAAGAGATTAGGCAGGAAAAATAGCTGCAGTTAGCCAAGCAAAGTTTTTTTTTGTTTCCTGACAAATGTTGGTAATCGTGTATGATGAAGCAGCTGTTGTTAAAAGAGTTGTAATTTTTATTGCACCCATCCTCTTCAAAGGATCATTTAAAGAAGATCACTTGTTTTACAGCTGTCGTTCTACTTCCACCAAGACTTGCGGATAAATCTTGCTTTTGTTCGACACTGGGGAAAACTACTTTCTCAACATGAAGCATTTCTTCAGCAGATGATATAAATGTAGCTGGTAGGAGATATTTGGTGACATATTATGTGGATTTCTGGGAAGAAATGAGCTGTTTACAAAGTCATCATATCGTTTATGTGTTTGCTTGTTGAAAGCTATGAGGATATTTTAATTAATTGCTATGCAGCAAAGCTCTAAAACATTAGTAGGTAGATTAATATACAAATTTAATTGAATGTATCCAGACATTTTAATAATATAAAGGTTAAGTTTAATTAGGCATTTTCATATTTCTTTACAAAGATATTTAGATAGGTACATAAAATCCTAGGCAGGACTTTGATTATAAGTAAATAGCCTGTTTAAATAATTATATATTTTATGCTTGAAAGCGGAACATTTTCTTAGGTAAGTTAGTTGTGTATCCTTAATGTAGTTAATTAATTTTCATAAGTTTTGTAATATATGAATGAAAATTTATCATATTTACCTTAGGGTAGTATATGGAGTGAATCTTGGGGTAAAGGTTCTTGGGCCCGTAGAAAGGGTATTTGAGCTGGCCCACGAGGGAGTCGTTGAACGTGGCGTATACCAGGGATTTGCCATCAGGCGCAAACCACACGGCACGGCCTGACGTCAAGATCTCCTCTGGAAAAGATACTGAGCATTACCACAGAAAGTTGACAGCTAAAAATATAAAGTGTAAGAAAGGGGATTAACCCTGTACCCACGGTGATCATCTACGCAGACACTGTTCCCATTACACTTAGTCGCCTAGTTGGTGTGAACAAAGTTAAAAAGTAGTATGAACATCAATTTACAAATCCCTTTCCCAGCTGACGTGAGCTTGACGATGACCAATAGGGCTGACTTCTGAGAAACAACTTTAACCTATGAGCCACAGACCCTATGATCCACACACAGCCAATTAGAAAGTCTAATGAAGAAGATGGAGGGGGTACGAGTCTTGGAGTTGGAGGACTTGAGAGGATAAATCGTGGAGATAACCGCGGGCTGGAACAAAGATCGGAGTGTGTGTGTTGTGGGTGTGTGTGCTTCAGGGACCATTGGCTAATAAATATAACTAAATTTATAAATATGTAAAACAATTAAGTCATATGATTTGTTAATAACTCAATCTTTATATTTTTTTTTGTAACTTAACCTTGAAAACGTTTTTCTTACTATTGTTGGCATTGTTGCTCTTTGTTTGTTCAAAGTTCTTATTCGGTGTAGTCACCCTTTGTAACTTCTTTTGTTTTTTAAATTTATTCGTTTTATTACACGTTTTATTACTTTCCCTGTTGATTAATAATATTAGAATATCCAGAAGTCAAAAGTTTGGTAAGATTAACTTAATCACAATTGTTTTCATGAGTGCAGAATGAATGACACAATCGATTAAACAATGACGAAAACCAGTTGATTTTAGTGATAGAATAATGTTAATAAAAAGTTGGTTACCTGTACGTCGAAACAGGGTGAGGACACAGAGTAGCTTATTATGTTTCTTTAAATCTTACCATTGAATAAAAAAAAAAAAAACAACACTCTGTTGGAGTACTAAGTATTTCAAAAGCTATCTTTGGTTCAACCCAATTTGCTTTGTAGTGTAATAAAAGTCTTAACTTTATAGAAATATATACAAAGAAATGTAACGAGAGCAAATATAAGCATTGTGATTATCCTTGTTATTGCTAGAGCCAAACAATGTTTTCATCTAAAAGCCTCAATTCGAAACATAAAAGGTCAATTTGGTTAAGCCTGGGGAGATTTTAAGGACATGAATTGTCCAATGTGTAGTTCATGATCTACCTTAGGGCAAAATGTCAGCTCAGATGGTTTATTTTGCATTCACCTCCATCAAATCAAACCATTACACACATATAGACAGAAATGACCTCGATTTTATAATTGCAGATATATTTCCCAGATCCAAACATTTACAAATGCACTTGTTAAAACTCTTTTTATTATTGAATTTTGTAATGTATTTACTACAACAACAATTAACTATTTATTAATTTATTGCTTAGTAGTGTTGTAAGAAAAGTGTTCGTAACTAGCTTACAGTTTGCAAGGTAGGCTTACAGATTCATCAGTGTAACTTCTGCTGCAGAGTCTGATTACATTGGTTTATGTAGCATCAAACTATAGATTCAAATTCAATTAGCCTTCATCAGGGAGCAGATTAAGCTATCATTATAGCACGATTGCAGTTTAAAGATCGGCCAAACACCAATACTTTGTCTCCCTCAACTTAATTTATTGTTAATGTATAACATGTGATCAAAGACTTTTATTGAACAATTTTTATGCCAACACAATCAACTCTTCACTTTAAAGAAAAATAATAATATTAGGAAACGTATAATAATAAATATGGGTTGGTTTCTGTATATCAGTTTGTTGGGCAATGCAAAAACTTCTGAACTAACCAAATCAAAATTTTACTAAATATAATATGTTATGTCCAGATCTTGAACTCGGTTAAACATGTAAGTCTATTTGCATTTTATTCTCAAGCTAAACTTTTTGGATACCCAAAAGTTTCGGGTTGAACGTTTCCAAGGAATGTTGATAAGTGTCTGTGGCATAAAAAATCAAACTGTTATATTTTGCTATATAAATGCTGTTCACGATTTCCCATTGAGGTAAATGATTATTTGCTTTACAACTGACTGAATACAGTGAAGAGAATTTCTTAACATGGTACAAATGAGTGTATCAGCTCGATAATCAATGGTGGAAATCTGTTCTACCATAGATTTAATGAACATATTTCTCTTCCGTGTCCTCACTTGCTAAAAAAGTATTATTTATCACATAATGTAAATGTAATAACCTTAGGTACAACATTACTTTTTTAGTGTAATGATATAACTAATTAGCTGTTACATTTTAATGGTTTTTGGACAGGTTTGATTCAGTAAAGTGGGGTTCAGAATGATATGGTTATAACACTAGTCTTTGATCCTGAAAGCCCTCAAGCAAATCCTTTAAACTGCCAAATTCTGTCCACTCAGAAATATAACTACCTAGTTTGTACTTTGAACCTCAATGCTGTAGGCTCATTTATTTATAAAAAACCTTAAACACAAATGAAATGGTTCCTTTGGTGAAAAATATCCACTTCCCAAAATAATAAAAACAATCACTGTGCGAGTAATTTTAAAACTATAATGCCGTGACGAGAAAAACTAACCCGAGGTTAATCTAAATAATTCACAATGCTGACATAAAAATATATATACTAAAATATAATAATATGTACAAAAAATATATATACTAAAAATAAATTATAATCATAATTACAATACATTAATAATCACAATAATCATCATTACAATACATAATGTCATCATCCTCAATAACAGTTAAATTTCAATTTTACTGACCCCAAAATAACAGTTTATAAAAACACTTGTGCATTGCTTTTGATATTCACAAATGGTATCAAGAGTTTTTTTTTTTAACAATATTGGTTATCTGAATACAGTTAGATAAATAGAAAAATTTAACAGTTACACATTAACTTATAACATTAATTTCCATGAATATATGTTAGATAATATGGTTCAGAACACTATTACAAATAAGAAATCCCTTCGGGTCTAGTTACAAAGTTTGCCAATTAATGTCATTGTGACACAGGAGTGTCAAAGGTGACAATATTGGTGACTGTTTAGAACTTTAAGAACACATTTTTGCCCAGAAAACTGCAAATAATTCAAAATATTCACCGTAATGTCTATTTACATTAGAGAAGTAATCATAAATATCATTTATATACAGAAAAAAAAACTTACTTGCCCCACCACATCATCACAGTAGTATGGAAAACCCCTACCCTATCTTACAAAGGAGCCACAAACTTCAATCATCTTGCAGATTACCTCAGAATATAAGAAATCCATGAAGAGCCTCCAGGCAGCACTAGGGCTAGATGAAGAGACCAGGGACAACAGAATTAAAATAATTTAATTCTGTGGTCGCAACATTTTCGAGTTTTTGGTGGATATAACCATTTTGGACCCCCCTTAACCTAAAAAATGGTTGTTAAAGTAATGTGTTTCTGTATGTATGTGTATGTGGGCAGAGCTACAGACTACACCTGTGGTCCGATTTAGATGAAATTTGGTATATGAGAGATGCGTTAAAAAGCATACCAGGGGTTGTTACATTTCTTATTAAAACGCATAAAATAATGTTAATTGGGATTTTAAAAAACTACTTGAACGATTTTGATCAAAGTTTTTTAAAGTATTTACAGTCTTTTTAACTTAAAATTGTATAATTCCCATTGCTATAAAAAGAACGGTTTAAAGGTTGATTTAACTTTTGTCATTTTCTTCATAAAATATCATAGTTACTCCCACCGCTTACCCATGATAATAAGGGTTGTTGACGAACTAATGGGAGGAACTATCTCTGATATTCCTGATACCGTTGATTTGTTGACTGTTAGCTACTATCTCCAAAGGATAAGGATCCAAAAATCCTTTCCTTATATTTTTATCATTTTGTGACAAAAAGAGAAAATTACATTTATAATTTACCTTGGTATACCCAGTCAGGCAGACCGTTGGTCACAGAAGGTGACCCACTAGTGGTGAGTCTGAACACTTGACCCTTGGCTTTGGGTTTGTAGTAGAGGTCGTTTTGATGTACGAAGGCCAGGGCAGAGCCCCGTGGGGCCCACACGACCAGCTGTAGGTAAGGGGCCTCGTTGTCATCTACACTGGTAGGGCCTGGAGTCACTGGGACTCGGTTTCTGAAAAATGGTTAAAAACCTTGATTGAAAACGCCAACAATTGTACTATATAAAAGCTGGTTTTAGACCAAAATTGAGTGTAGTATTATTGAGCCACTGACGACGTACGCTAATGCAAATTTGGTATTTTTGTAGGATATGCCTGCTTTTTAAACAAACCGGAAGAGATTTTGTTTGTTGTTTTTGTGCCAGAAAAGTCAATGTCTAGTAATAAAAAACTAAAAAGTATTTAATCTAATTGTTGCAAGGGAGTAACGATTAGACGTTTCAGGGGATGAGTAAATTATTTAAACCACAATCCATTACTGTAGTAGTAAAAACTAAGTGTTACTCCAAAATTAGCAGTGACCTGCATCGTATTGAGAGGATCAGTTTTGAATTTTAGGGACAGGCGATGCAGGTTATATATTAAATTAAAAAGTTGTATATGAATCAATGGGATCGTCTTAAGGGAACTTTATTTTACGAATTGCAGGAAATCACTATATAAAATAAACAAATTTAAAATTTTTTTAAAATATATAATTGGTGTATGAAAATGTCAATTAAAATAGTAAATTAAAAGTAATTATTAAAAAAAAAATAGTAGAGTAGATAGTTTTTCTTAATTTATTGAGGGGATGACGAGGAGTACATGTAAAACAAAAACTATGTACTCAATTAAACATATGTATCCTAAATTGTCTCAATGGGGTGACATTTTAAGTTATGTGGAAGCCAAGGAAATAGAGTTACTGTGCATTTTGTAGTTTTTTTTTAGAAATATATAGTTTCTTTGTTTATATTAATTTACTTGAAGTCTTCCCATGTTTTTTTTGTCTGAAAATAATTAACGTCTATGTTATTAAACTCACTTGTTGTTATATTCACTTAACTATAACTTAACTTAACTATAGTGTTATATTCACTTGTTGTTATATTAACTTTTGTGTTATAGTCACTTGTTGTTGTCTTTTAATGTTGAAACAAATTTTAGTAACTTAAATTTTACTTCCCAATATTTTTTTCGGATAATGGATCCAACAATTAACAGAACACTCTACTGATTCAGATTTTATCAACATAATAAGGTAATGACAGTAAATTTTCCTCATTCATCCTCAAATATTGTCATGTTGCATTCAAAACCCCTTTAGTTTAGGAAGTTAAGAAAGAGCAATAAGTTGTTATTTATCTTTTACAAAATAATTAATTATGTTGAAAGATATTACACACTGTATTACCTAAAATAATTTAAATCAATTGGTTACCAGGAGGAAAAACCTCGACCAAAATATACATGACATGTAATTGTTTTCACATATGGAAGCTTTTAAATTAATGAAAATCAGGTTGAGAGGGAGAGATTTTGTCATTTTAATTAAACTAAAATATCTTTTGTGGCGATGAAATTACGAGAAAGAATTACATTTATTTGTTTGGATTCACAAAGTGCCGCAAGTAATACTAAAGTTGTGTTACTTAGTAAAGAGCTTCAATATTTAGAATTAAAACTATACTTTTAAAGTCCATTTAATTTACGGTCAGAACTAATGTGCCATATACAATTAGAGGCAAAAATGAAACATTGTTTATTGTACTCATATCAAAATTAAACTTTCAACAATAAACAATTAATTGCTGAAAGTTTGACACAGAACTGAGTAGCCATTTGTCAGGGAGTTATAATTAATGGTGCTTTCTACTAAGTTGCCTTTCAACTACACCCGGAGACCTTTTAGCATGACTATTTCAAAAGAATAATTTGTTTAAAATTAAAAAAAAATAAACGTTAGAAACATAGAGGGAAAATAAATTATATTGGTAAGTAAGATGTCCTGTGGGAAAGATAAAGGATGAGGGGGGGAGGAATCGTTTGTTGAAGAGCAGAAGAAGAAGTGCCATCTCCAGGAGTATTAATGATTCCAGCCCTCTAGGGCTTCAGATCTAATGACCTGTCAATTCAATCTCACCCTGAAATACTTTTAGTTTATCTCAGCAAAATTTAAATTCTGGATTAAACTCATAGTTGCAAGTCATTTACCATAATGGATAATGTCAATAACGTAGAGTAGGCCTATTCAAGAACTACTAACAAATGTATGTACAGTCCCACTGTTGATAACACCAATGAAATCAGATAAAAGTATAATTCAAACAAAATCATATTAGTTTAAAATGCTTGTGACGACGATTTTTCGTCAAAACCCTTCCGCTGGATTTCGAGATATTTATTACAGACAGATAGACAGACAGACAGACAAACAGACATTGGTCGTTAGATAATAGGATATATAGTGTGCTAATCCTTATTCAAAAATGTGTGCCGAAGTGCTTTAAAACAGGTCAAATCATTTTTTTAATTTTTGCTAAATTTACAAACCTTTTCATGATAGATTTAGTACATAAATTAGGATGTCCCATGAAGAGGTTGATTCTTTTAAATAAATGTACCAGACGCTAACTATATCGTAGTACCAGACCGGTATCAAAATGTAAATATTTTTTTCATGTTAACAAAAGTATTTGCATTTTGATACCGGTCTTCAGAATTAAATGAAACGCGTGGATATTTTTTGTACATATAATTTTATATCAACAGTAGAGTTTTTATTACAATGTGTTCCTGTGTCTGGCATGTTAAGTAATAAAAATGGCAACACCTTCGTGGGTCACCGAGTTTGCAAATTGTTATCAGATCAGTAAAAACACGTAGAGCAGAAGCTAGCTTAACCAAGGTTTAAAGTGTATTTAACACAGTTAAAATTGGAATAGAAAAGCGTTGCATCAGTTAGGAAACAAAACCATTGTTGTTGTAAGTACCACATTGTTTGTTTGTTTTGCTACACTACTAAACAAATAAACTAGAATGGGAAATAAAGTGGAGTTCATGTGATGTTGAATAGACTAACTTTGCTAAAAAGATAAATTTACTTCAAACGTGGCATTTTGCATAGATTTGTGTTAGTGCAATAAGCAGTCTTTAGTTTGTGTTTTGATAATCAAAGTCAGCGAATGCTAAAGAAATAATAAAATATATAACTGTTCAAAAATAACAAACATTTGTATCCTGTGACTGTATTGAAAACGTTAAACTAATTCTATCGTTTTTATGCATTGTAATTTCAAATTTTGAACGGACCAGAAATATTTTTTGGTTCCAACAGAATTCAGAAAATATTATTGATATTTTAAGTTAGCTATGTGATTGAGTTCAAATAGTGAATAGAATAAATGAACTTACTCCTGAAAATGAGTTACTATGGTGGTTTGATTGATTTGAAAAAATCGTCAATCTGTCTATAAGTTCACTTTATATATTTTTTTTGGAATATAACATATAATATTTTATCATAACAACGACGAGATTGTGTTAAAATCAACTTCAACTTTTTTAGACCAATAAATACAGTTTTTAGTTATAAGGTTCAAGTTAAAATTAACGTATTATTTTAATCATGGTATGTTATAATGCAATTATAGGATATAGTTTAAAATGACCCGTCTACCAACACTTGTCTAATCACTTAAGACTAGTTTACACTTAAAACTTTAGACGATACTAAATACATTTACCGCACAATAGCTATATATTAAGTGTTGTACGCCGTATTTACCGTATGTGTTATACGGTAAAATATTCATAACACATTTTACAATAGCGATAGAATTGTTCAGTCTGACCAATTATCACAGACCCAATCACCGACTTGCAAAAGTTTACAATCAATTTGTAACCAAACTGAATAATATTGTAAATACACGTTCTATCATAAATGTATTTAATCTATAGTCATGCTACTGGTTTGCATATTGTTCATCCAGCACACAAAAAAAGAATCTATGCAAACTAAACATAAGAAATGAAGAGATATCACTGGTTCGTACACGGAAAGCAAAAAATGTAGGAACGAAAATGCAAATTATGTGTTTACATTCTAAAATTATGTGCAACAGTTTTCTCCTAACTGAGATTTGCATAAAGCTGTGTTTAGCTGATGTAATAAATCCAAAGAGATTTAGTTGAGCAGCCCCTGCATTCAACAAGTATTCTGGCTGGGCTCCAACCTGGGCTATACTCATCCCTTTGTATAAGCTATAAAAAAATCATACTCCAGGTAAAAAAATGATAGCTACTTCCTCGAAATAATATAAATCAATTAATGTTTAAACTCTTGCAAACAAAAAGAACATTTTAAGTTTTTATCATGTTCGACTATAATGTTTGGACGATTCTTGCCTGGTTTGTAAAAAAAAGAAAATGATGCTGACTGATAAAGTATATATAATTTAGCTGTTGCGTTATAGCATACTATAAACACACACTTCGTAATATTTGTGACTTATTAATACAACTTCAGTATCCAACAGTAAATGGCATTATACAGGGTGCAAAAAGCCCCCTTTCAATTTGTTTTTTAATTTAAAGATACTTATTGGAAATTTATAGTGTCTGATTATAATATAATAGCACATGGAATGGGCCCAAGAAACAACGGGTATTTTTGAACTGCTGGATTTTGTCACAACAACATAATTTAATATTAATGTTTATTTTCGAAATAGCTTTACACGTCTTCAGTTGTATTGTTCATAAATTTCCGTAGATTCTCGAAACCACAATACCACATGGCTTTGTTTTAATTCCGACTTCAGAATATTTTCAAACCTGTTGTTAAAATGTCAATTCACTAATGTTTCTATTGTGAAAAATAAAGTTATTGTTGAGTTGAACAAAACATGCTTTCCCTTTCGTACGGCTCACTGGTATTGTTTGATTTTTAAACAAAGAAAAAGTAGAATTTTAATAAAAAAGACCGTTTTATTAACATTGGAGGTTTTTGGGGGTACTAAATACACGAGTGTTTGTTCCAAAATATCATTAATCCAAAGCACTGTATTTTTCAAAACAATTAATACTTACTGCGTAGAGACCTCATAGATGTGGTATCGTGCTTCAAAAGTGTTTGTATAAATCTGAAAACAGAGAAATGATTTTTTAAATGCATCCAAACGTCTTCAATCAAAAAGATTAAAAATAAGCTATGTAACTGTAATCCGCCGTTACTCTTCTCATTATTTAACCTAATAAACTAATAAATAGAAACATTTGGCTGTTTTGTAATACAATAATCCGTAGTAAAAACTCTTTTGGGAAAAACACTAGATTAACTGAAAGATCACCTTGAAGTGAAATCATGGTTTTGGTCAGGTTTTTTGAAGTGGTAAATCCTAAGAGAAAACTCTGTCACTTTAGTAGAATACGAAAGGAAAAGGTGATGAGAAAATCTAAAATGGTTATAAATAAATAAACATGTAAACAGAGTGATTATTGTGGATTACAATAAAATATTGTGTTTCTAATGTAGTTATAATATTGTTAACTTATTGTCTGCTAAACATTTTTGTAGCACAGAACATTTGTTTAATGAAAATGCTTTTTTTCTGTAGTATAGTATCCAGACTTATGACTAAATTAAAGTTTCAAAACTTTTAATACTTCTGTTTCATTAAAGTTAAAGTATTGAAAATAATTTATACCGCATTGTATCCATTATGATTTTCAACCTGACCATGGCTAAAACATCCCATTACTAATCATGATGTACTTCAGAGGACAGTAAAGATAAAATAGTTTATTTCTAACCATCTCTTTCTACTAGTTACCAAAATAATTTAGTAAATGCATAATGCTGTGAGCCCATGAGCAATAAAAGAGTTTATCCAAACTTTATAATCTAACCTCACAATATCAATATTTTATTTGCCAAGGTATACATCTAAATAAAAACAAATATTTGCATTGATACAATATAATTTATAATTAAAAGACAATACTTCTTAGCATAAAATTTTACCTTTTTAACGTCTGATATGAGCAAGACAAACTTGAGATCGCTGGAAACTCGAAAATCTACTGCGTTTAGCTGCCTCTGTAACAGAAAATGTAGAAAAAAATGTAAATTATGGTAAATAATAATTTTACATAACGATTAAGCTATTACTTACCCTACACCTGTCCATTTGTAATGTCAATGCAAAGAGTGCTAGCATTATATAGGGTACTGCAGTATTTTCCAGGTGTAATGTTAGAATGTACATTATGAAATTACTCACATTTTCATCTTTAATAATAATACTATACACATTTTGTTAAATACGAATAAACACATTTCAACACTCTTTACCAGAATAATGTCTATATGTGTCAGGTTGTCATATACATTTTGTACAAGGCTGCTTAGCGGACTTGCTAAACCAAGAGATGTCAAGGGCTCGCGTCCTGGATTCCCCACATTATGATGTCTTAAAAAGATAGACTTTAGCCTGGAGTCGTATTACATGTTTTTCTTGAGGATCGCGGCATTATATTTTTTTATCGTTGGTGATTGCAAGGATTTGAGCGTGGAACCTCAGTGACAGAGGTCCCGCGCTCTACCACTAGACTATTACTCCACCCTATATAGTTCATACCCCTACCCTATAGACACATTGCCCTTTTGTACTGGAGCGTGTCTGGCTAATGGTAGGTATACGGGTTCAAATCTGGCCAATGGCCAAGCAACATTTTAGCTTTGATAATAATAACACTTTGACTCAAAGGACGCTCTTTAAGGGTCATTTACCAGTAAAAACAATAAATGCCTCAGTTACAAGGCTTACAATTTTTACAAGCAAATTAAGAAAAATATATTCGTCGATATTTAGTGTATAATCGACGACAGCCTGAACAAGTCCTTAAATAAGAAGAGCAAAGGATATTGTACGTATATTTTGCTGTACAGTAGCCTTGATACAAGTTTAATATTTCGTAAATAGTAGTTGTAAACTGTATGTGGTTTGACTTGGTTCAAAAGCTACAATTTAAACAAGCGCGACACAAAAAACATAAGCCCCTACAACCCTAGAGCATCTAAAACTTAAGTTGTCAAGCTAAATTGAAAGCGTAAATTTTCTTGATTGTTGCCAGAAATTGCGTTCGTTCTTTTGTTAGTGACATTTGTGATTCGATCATTGTAAATTGGCTACGTCTATAGTGATCTAATGAAAACAGTATAACCATTGTCTAACAAAAACGCTTTGACGTCACTTTTCACGGTTAAATGTTTGAAATTAAAAAAAACCCTTCACAGTGAAACTCCATACTAAATCACCACCCGATTGTTTTAAGCTTTTTTATCTTTTATTAAAACACAACTTATAGTTTACAAACAGAAACGTTATAAACTACAATTAAATTTTTACAACCCTTAATCCCTGCCTAATATAAATATTATCCGGTTCACCAGATCTTGGTTGGATATCCAATAGTGTTATAGTACTTGAATCTAATATTGCAAGCACACTAAAAAATAAAGACATAGGAAAATCTATCATAAATATTAGTTTATTTTCTGTTTTATCCACAAAAACGCAGATGAAATACAATATTTTAGAAAATATTTTTAGCTACAGCGTTCAAATTTCCATTTGTGTTAAGCCTAGTTCATATCAAAAGCTTTGAATGTGGAACCTGAGTCAAACCCTTTCAACTCATATTTAGACCCGATATCTATTGTCAACAGGAATCACAATAAAACATTATCACAGACTCTGACCATTTGAAAACCAATTAATAAGCTCTCTCAGGGCTTTGTGGTATCAGTATTTCGCTGAATTATTTTCGATTATTGTTGATACAAAATTGACTAACAATTTAATTACACTAATTCAGTCTTTTGTTTTTATAAATTTTCTATTTGATATTTTTATCAACTAAAGTTTAAACCAAAATCGTTATGTACTGAAAGTGATTTAACTTAGTTTTACTCTAAACACTCCAAACCTTGTTTTCCAGGAACAAAAAGACTATTCCAAAACAATTACAAATGCAAAATGTTCTCTGCGAATCCGTTGAATGCATTTGCCGTGTTTAATTAAATAACGTTTAATCGGCTCTGACATTACTGACAAGTTGTATTTAAACGGTCTGATTCCAATAGGAATCCGACGTTTTTGGATACAATTTGTATTGTTAAAGGAACAATCTACTTAAAAAAGTTGATCTCTATAGTTGAACTAAACTAAACAAAACTTGCTAGAATACACTTAACTAGACCTCGTTAGCTAGCTATGGGGTACTAAAACGAACCAAATATAAATGTGCATTCAAAAATAGTGAATTACCTTCATATAACAAAACTACTCCTGATATATCATGTAATATTTTGTTGTATCTCAAATTCTAAGGTAGTGTGAACAAAGTGGAAAGTCTTCTTTGGAAGATCAAAGAACATTATTTATAGAGGCAAAGCAACTAGACGAAGATGCAGAAGCGCTATAACCTATATACTATGTGACCTACAAATATAAACGTACTAGCAGAGTACCCGTCCTTCGTACGGGGTTGGCATATAGTAAAATGCTTATTGCAGTTATACTCCAACTTAGCGTTTGCAATGGGGGAGAATACAGTTTGATAAAATTTGCTTCTTTAAATTTTTCATGCAATTAAAAACATGAACATAACTGTAAACAATCCTACTTTGACAGTTCTCCATTGCCTATCACAGTTTTTTGTTGCTGCCTGGTTCAAATTAGGTGATTTTATAAATGCAAAAAATAATAGTGCTGCACCCTGTTGGTAAATCTTATAACTTTATAATGCTATTGGTATCATAGAACCAACTTTTTTAGTTGAAACAGCTGACTAAATTCTTTAATTCCCTTTAAATATGAATACTCATAAAGTTAACACGGGAAACTACAGAGCCACTGGGGCGGAGCCCGAAAGGATTTTTGAGATAAGAATATGCCTATATGTTAATCGGGAATATGAGCTATCATCATGCCAAATTTCAGCCCAATCCGTCCAGTGAGCTCGATGCTGAAGAGGTTAAGTTGTCATATCTTGTTGTACTAGATCATATTTCAGGAAGGGAATACTCTGTGTGAGTTCATAGGTTACAAATATTACTTCAAAACTCGGGAAAACATTTTTTAGGTGGTAAAATATTCAAGCAATTGCTTTGCATTGGGTTTAGAATCATTGGTGCTATTTTTAGTACAGTACGAGTATTTGGTTTTTTGACAACAATATTTTGGTATTAACAATTTGTGGGCTTTGGTTTATTGAAGTTAGTATTAATTTATATGTACTCTACTAATAAAGGCCTTTTATTTGATATGCATGTCAACCTATGCTTACATTTGAGATTTTTTTCTGTCTCCCCTGAGAAAGTAGTGGATCACTGAATATGTGATAAAATAGATTGTTACGTCCAGTAACTTTGTGAAAAGTTTTGTAGCTCTATTTTAAATAATTTGAAAAATATTTAAGCGATCCGGGACTTTTTAGACACCCTGTATAAGGTAGGGGTTTGTTTCCTAAGTTAATCCATTTTTAACCATAATCATATTTTGATTTTCAACAGCTGAAGGTGTATTGATTTAACTTGAGTTCTGGTGTAAATGTAGCTTCACTTTGGCAATATTGTTTGTTTTTAGTATCCCACGACGATAATGATAAGTCAATAACCAACTTTGGGACGACCCTGTAGTGTTATCCCTCTATATTGGACCCCTCGGGGAGCTTCCAACAATAATATTGGCAATACAGTTCTGTAATAGACTACCTACATAAAGTTCCAATAAAATAAATGTTTAGCTCTAACTCAATAACCATCGTAGAATAGTAAAATTAAAAGATTGTCTGGTTTTAAGTTAACTTTTTATTGTTTGATGCCATCTTGTAGCCACATAACAACTGTTTCAAAAAGTGAATAAGGTAGTTTTACTAAAGACTTTAAAACGTATACACATGCATAACGTGAATAAGGTATCGGGCATGCATCAAACTTAATATTATTGAATTTACATTCCATAAATCAATATGATAGCTGGGTTTAAGGAACTTATAATTTAACAACTGAACACCACAATCAAATTATGCAATAGAATTTAAAATATGTATGGACACTATTTAAATTTGACTGTTTGCCAGATCAATTTAGTTAAAACAGAAAGCGGTTTTCGGATGATTTTAAAATATGTTATGTCTATTTGGCTTTATGGGTAATACAACAATTCTACACGTTTACAAATCCACTACTTATCGTAAATTCCAGGTAACTACAATTTAGTCTGTTGTTGAAGCAACTTTGGTAACCTCATGTTTCAAGTTTACCTTTCAAAGTTTCTCCAACTAGTTTCTATGAAAGGAGGAAACATGATGCGTCAAACTATTTTCACCAACTTCGCTTTAGAAGTAGTATTAATTGGGCTTGTGTACATAAGGGCATGTTAACCGGGAGGAAATTTAACAAAATATTACTTAAGCCTAGTTTATGTTTCTTATTTAGCATTCTCATTCACTGTTTTCGATTCGCTTCAATTTCAACTTCTTTGAATTTTTATATGATTACAGATTTATTTTCTTAAAACTCTGAACATACATGTGTTTCAACAGAGCATCTTCTGTAGCAACTGATGGATATAATGAACTATCCACACGTAACCTATTGGGTACAAAATGTCCCATAAGGATCAGTAAAACCTTAGTAAACCCTTTTAGCATAGCATTTTGCATTTTTACATTGATGTGATACGGAAATGAACCGGTAAACCAAGGAATGTTATGGAAATATCAATCCAAGCGTCACTAATTGCGTTTATAGCATCATTACTGGTAAATTATAATATTAAATTTTCATTCGATAGTTTTATCAATTTTATTCGAACTAAGACCTGAAATAAAACAACCAACGTAACCGGAGGATTTAAAAGTAATTCGCCATTGTTTGTGACACATGTCACTCAGTACAGATAACGCGGGAGAGGTACGGCTGAGCGCAGTACTTTGTCACTTTTGACACTGACAAAATGGCGGCGGCGGTGAAGATTATATCAGCTGACTGATGACTGATTATCAGCTGTTTGCACGGCTTTGTGACCG